CGGTTTCAGGGTGTTCTTGTTAAAGAGGAGGTTGGGTGGGGTGCTCAGCCCAATAGTAATCTGGTCTGGAATCCAAATCAACACACACAAAAAAATTCTGTGGTGTGTCCCCAAATCCTTTTTTTTTTTTTTTTTCTTCTGTGTGGATTTGGAATCCAGATCATAAGCCTCTTGGGCTGAGCGCTCCACCCATCCAATATGGGGGCCCCTTTGGAGGTGACTACAGGAAAGCTTACATTGAGGAGTCCTTTAAATCAGATTATACGACATGTAAGTATAGCAAGTTGGCGTGTAAATTGCCCATGTTAAAATTGGTGTAGGGCCCACCGATATTGGGGTACTGTGACGTAGTGGTGGGCTTAACCCAATGTGGCCGTATGGTGGAACTGAATCCCCATATTTGTTTGCTATGATAGGTGATTTAAGTAACCTTAAGTAGCTGTATTTTTCTTTGTGTGTGCGCTGTTCCTTTTACTGTATTTTGTATTTGTTTGGTCTTTACGGCAGCACCACTACTTGGTAATGCATATTCTGGGTGTGCCCCCAATTCCCATTTTTTCTGTGTAGATTTAGAATCCAGACCAGATTCCTATTGGGCCGAGCACCCCACCCATCCAATCTTGGTGCCCCTTTGGAGGTGACCACAATAAAGCATAAATTGAGGAGGCACTTGAAGCAGTTTATACTGCAAGTAAATATAAGGATCAAGTAAGGATCTCGTGTAGGGAGCTGAAAACTGTAAGAGGGAAAGATGCTGAGTGTTGTGTGTGTTTGGTTTTTGGGTTTGCTTATGTTTGTGTGTATTTCGTGTCTCGATGTGTGTGACCCGCTCCGGCTTACCTTTCTCTGGTGGTGCAGTGGCAGACCACTTTATTCATTTTTTTTCCCTTCTTTATTTTCTCTTGAGTGGTAGACAGTGTTATACAGTACAATATTTGACATATAGTAACAGTCATGTGACAATAAAGGTAGCAGCATTGACATTAGTGAAACATAGGTGCCGAAGGGCATCTAGCAGGTTTACAGTGATTCATGACCGTGACAGAACATGGGTATGGTGTAGCGGTGGGTACCAGCCTATTTGGTGCCAAGTCTATGGAGGATGCTAGTCATGTAGCGTGGCTGTCTGTCTTCTGGCAACGGGGATCTTAAGTCAATAGTATGATGTCCGCCTCAAGTATTTTATCAGTCGGGTGATTACCTGGCCGGAGAGAAAAGAAAAAGAGGTGGAGCAAGAGGAAGTGATAGGGGAGAGGGAGCTGGGTTCAGTAGGGAGCTAGTGTAGCCAGGAGGGCTCAGGCCACATCGGTCACCTCAGGCAAACCCCTTCAGGTAGGCCTCCCATGGCCCCACACTTTCCCGAAAGTTTGTAGTGTACCCCGGACCTGGACGGTCAGTTTGTCCATTAAATATGTGTCTTTTAGTTTTAAAGGTGACCAGGTCAATGGATGGGACTTCAGGTTCCAGCCAGGATTTAGCTATGGCTCTTCTAGCAGCCAGTGCGATTTTGTGAATTCATTTTTGTTCTGGTCTAGTCCAACCGTCTAGTGGCCGAGACAGTAGTAGTAGTAGTAGTCAGGGGTCTCTGGAACACATTCGTCGTGAGGTATGTGACCTTATCCCACAGCGTTTGTATTCGGGGGCAGTCCCACCACATGTGTTTGTATGTGCCTCTCTGTCCGCACAGTCCCCAGCATTGGTCTGTCGTGGTTTTATGCATGTGATAGAGCTGGACCGGGGTGGTGTACCACCTGAACATCGCTTTATACGATTGTTCTTGCATCGTGACACACAGCGAGGTCCGTCCATTAGCCTCCCATATGTCTTGCCAATCTGTCCCTTCCAGTGTCTCCCCTAAGTCTGTTTCCCACTGGTCGGTGTATCGTAAGCCCCCCCATTCTGTAGTGTTGGTGCATAGGTGGGAATATAGCCTAGTGATGAGGCCCTTTTGGTATGTTTCTGCGTCACATATCTTGAATGTTAGTTGTGTAGGGCTGCTTTTTTTACGTTTGGGCATAGTTCCTAACTTGCAGGTACCGAAAGTAGTCGGAGGTTTTTAGGTTTGTTTTATGTTTAAGTACGTCATATGTGATGATGTGGTCACCTATGTATAGGTTGTGGCAGACCACTTTAAGAGCTCCTGCTGTAACGCTCTGAGCCATTGAGAAGCTCCAGGGGCTGTGAGTGAGCTTTTAAAGTGGCTTGTATCTAATATTGATGCAGACCACCAAGCTCCCTCACTAAAATGAGGGGGCTCGGGTCAGAGTAGGGAAATCTAATCTCGCTGCTCGCTCACTGAAAGCCCCCTTACAACTTGCAAATGGGAAAAAATTCTATTTTTAATGTATGTAAGACCATTAATAAACATTAAAAAGTAGAGGATCCAGGGCAGAAGCTTGACTTTTTGCGCTTACCATCGTTGACCAAATTTTAATTTACAGCTCACCGCAGTGGTTATGGTGCCAGAAGTGCTGTGGCACTATCGGAGCATTAGTTGTTGAATTGTTTTAGTGTGGTTTACAGCTGCGTCCAGTCTTCTGTGAGACGGAGATCCAGATGTCAGTTTCAGAAGACCAGAAGCAGTAAGAGTACAGCGGGACCAAGATAAGTCTCAAACCATGCTAAAACAACTTTTAAGATTATGGTGGGATGACACCAAGACACTTCTGGCATCATAACCACTCCACCCGGTTGTATTGCTTATGGTGGTTTGAATGTTTTTTTTAACAACTCCTCCCTGCACTGCATCAATTTGTAATTGAAATACAAGCCTTTTCTTCTAATCTGATAACTTAATTTCTACAGTAACTTACTGCATGAAGCTAATCAAATGTTTTAGTAGATGACATGCATTGCAAAACACTAATTTATTATTCTAATCACTTGATCTTTCATTCATTTAACCATAAGTACAATTACTAATGACTGTTATTCACAGTGCAATAATGTAAAACCCTTTATAGAATGTCTTCACCACACTTATAAAGTTCACATCCCTGTAATTGTCTGGATGACGTTTTGACCCCTTTTTGAAACATGACTACCATGTCTGATATACACCATTACATTGTGACAATTCCTGAAAAAAATGAATCCTGGAATATAAAAAAAAAAATATATATATATATATATACACACATTTTTTTTTCTAAAACTCTACTAAGCACCCTAATTACCTGTGGGAATATACTATCTGAGACTTGGGTTTTATGTACTTAATTAAAAGACTTTAGTAATTTCTGTGACAGCCAGTGATGTGTTTGCTGGAAGGGAACTTTATAGTCTACATTGAATACTGAGAAAGATGCAACAATTGCCAAAAGCTGAGTTAAGGCAAGTCAGCAGCCTACGGCACTCAAGGCTGCCAGAGCCAGACTCCGACCTATCAGGTCCCTAGTGCAAACTGAATGGTGATTGCACGTGTTGAGGGGCAATCCTTAACTTACACATTGCAATACTTAGAGGAAGATATCACTTCCTCCCCCCCTCTTGTGAATGTGAATCTGCACTGGAGTCGAGCAACCCTCAGCCCCTGCCCTTAACCTGTACCTGGCCAGCCTGGTGCCCGCTGGACCCCATGAAGGCCAACCACCCTTCTAGATATACACAGTCCTGCAAAATAATGTTCCCCTTCATGCAAATAATACAAACCGCACACACACAAACAGTACCTACAAACGTAACACCACTGACAATCTACATACACGCACACAATTCCACAAGCAGCCTCTCACATTCAATACCCCAAGTAGCCCCCCTCACCCCCCCACACACACACAGTAACATATCCACACACAATTCTACAACCAGCCCCCATACACTGCTCACGTTCACACAGGGCCGGACTGGCCCACCGGGATACCGTCGGCACCTGGGGCCGGGCAGGCAGCTGGCTCACCTGCGGCCGCAGGGGGAGCTGGCTGTTCTGTCTCTGCTCCCCTTCCCCAGCGCACTAAAAAGAGACCGGGGCCGGAATATGACATCATATTCCGGCCCCGGTCTCATTAAGCGGCGCGCTGGGGAGGGGGAGCAGAGACAGAACAGCCAGCTCCCCCTGCGGCCACCAAAGGAGCTCCCCACAGGACACACAGAAATTGTGTGTGAGTGTATGTCTGTCTGTGTCATGGGGTGTGTGTGTGTGTCTGTCTGTCTGTTATGGTGTGTCTGTCATGGTGTGTCTGTCTGTCATGGTGTGTGCGCCTGTCTGTGTCATGCAATGTGTGTGTCTGTCTGTCTGTGTCACGGTCTCTCTGTGTCGTGGTGTGTGTGTGTGTGTCATGTGTCTGTGTCACGGTCTGTCTGTGTTATGGTGTGTGTGTGTGTTTCTGTCTGTGTCACGGTCTGTCTGTGTCATGGTATGTGTGTGTGTGTGTATGTATGTTTTTACTCACCTTTTTTTTCTCCCCAACGTCGTGCTGGTCTCCCCTCGACTGGCCCTGCCTCTATGGCTGATATCATCAAGCTTGATGATCTCAGCCAATCCGCACTGACACAGGAAGCACCTCTAGTGACCGTCTGAGTGTCTGTCACTAGGAAGCAATGTAAACACTGCCTTTTCTCTAAAAAGGCAGTGTTTACATTGAAAAGCCTGCAGGGACAGGCTATAGACACCAGAGCCACTACATTAAGCTGTGTGTGTGGGCTTGCTTGTGTGTTTGTGTGTGTGTCTACTACTGAGTGAGCTTGTGTTTTTATGTCAATGACCTTATGTATATCAGTGAGATTGTTTGTTTGTCTATGAGGCTGTGTATCAATCAGCTTGTGTCAGTGAGATTGTCTGTGTCTGCATGTGAGTATGCTTACTGTATAATTAAACATTTTACTATGAAAGGACCAATATTTTATATTGGAAAAAAAAAGCAATATATATAAATAATATATCTATCTATCTCTCTCTCTCTCTATCTCAATCATCTAGGGTTGCAAGACATAGCCTTACATATTACCTCCGACAATATATGGCGCAATGACTTATGGGGCTGGCATAGATTTTTTTTTTTTTCAGGGCTGCTTTGGAATCCCCAGTCCGGCCCTGCATTCACAGGTATCATACACAATCCTACAAACTACTCATGAACATATACAATATAACAGCCCATTTACGCACAAATACAATGATACAAAGCAACTGCAGGACCCATAAATAACACAAGCAGAACACAGCGCTATACACACCTTAATTTAAAAAAATAAAAAAGATCAGCATGCCAGGGGTACTTCAACATCTGGCTTTGGCACAGTATTACTAACATGTTGCCTACCTCTGGGTTAGGTCATATTATTACTATTCATAGATGGCTACCTGGGTCCTGTAGAATTATTTCTTTGTACGCTTGATGATGCAGATATAGTTTGTCATTGGAATATTTGACATGTCCGCTTTTAGGCATTTCTGACACTCAATGATAGTCATGAAAACACAGTACTTCCCTCACATACAGGAACCAAGCAATGCAAATATTCATCAGAGACAAATACGGGGCTTAGTATTGTTTCCCTCGTTAAATTCATTCTACAATAGATCGTGCTCTAGCAATATATACATTTTAAATAAAATACATTGTCCATTTCAGCTATGCTTTGTGTATAACCATGTATCGGTATGAATGGAACTCATTATGTTAAGACAGATTTACAGTAACAAAGCGAGGGTTAAATGGCTTTTGTAAGTCAATTACTTACCTCCATCACCACAACTTCCATGAATGACCTTGATCAATGTTCAGACACTCCAAATCTTATTATATTTTGATTATCACGTTAAAAAATAAATAAATAAATAAATAATAAGTACTACTCTAGAATGTACTCAAATGAACTTGACTAGGACTGCACATGTAGTTTATAAAATCTGAATAAATTATTACACATGGTTTTCAAGCAAAGTGCATTCTGCAGTTATATAAAATACAGACTATCTTCTTTATCCAACATAGTGTGTAGCATAGAGAAGCCAAGAGGTCAAGTAATATACAGTAATGAGTGTGTGTGAATTGAAACGTTAACACTAAAAGCAACATCGAGGAAGCCTGTAAATCAACGAGCTACATGTCACATAATCTGCAACTTGCTGAACTAAATGTCGGGCAAAAAGATCATTTCAAGGACAGCTTGAATTACATGTTATGTGAGCCTGAATTCACACATCAGCTGTATGTTAGCAAAGACTAAAACATCCACACGTACATGTATATGCCACCTATGACTTGTAGAGTTAATTATATGGGCCTTTGCACTTTCAACTTTACATCTTGTAGCATGAAAGTTGATAGTTTCTGAGGAAAGGTAACACGAGGCCTGTAACATCCAGTATTAAATCCCAACAAATTGGCAACACAGCATTGTTCAACAGAAAGGTAAAAGATCACATAACATGGTGAGCCTCTGTGTCCTAGTAAACAGTTTCTGAACATTTGTTACATCTTCCAGAATCTTGGTTTTTTTTTCTACCTCCATCACAGGAGATAAAGACCAGGTAGGAAGGAACAAGTTAGTGAATCAAATAAAATTCCCAAAGCTTGTACTACTCCAATGTGAGCAGTCTTTAGACAAATTGTCTTCAGCGTGGGATTGGCAGTGTCTATGGGACAAGTTTCAGGCTGTGGACCTGTATTCGCAGAGTAGAATGAAACAAGGAGCTTGATGAAAGATCTCAGTCCTATACATCAAGTCCATGCAGGTGAAATTCTGCTCAAGGCCTTCATGTCACTTGAAGCAGCTCCCACTGCTGGCTTGACAGCTCAGACTGGCAAGGATTGATAAGTACTCTGGGTGCGTTTGTATCAAGGCAAAGCCCACTGCTCACATGCTGTAAAAAGGGTCCTTTTAATTTCCATTTCTGGAATAGAAGAGAGCTTTGAATTATAAACAACACATAATAAAACAGAATTTTACAACATAACATTATCCGTTTACCTCTAGTATGGCTATTTATCTGTTGGCTGTAGAACCAATAATTTTCTTTGGTGTTTTGTGCCAGGGATAGTCCATTAGTATTTAAACTGTCATACTACATTAAAACACACTATTATTGAATTACCGTAAATTATTCGCCACACATCCATCACTAGTAAAGTATTGTGTGGATTTAAGAATACATCTGCAAAGGGATGGGTGGATATATTGAGCAATATTCTATCATTTTTTACAGTTACTTTGTGTTCACATTATATACTGTAGACAAAAGAAAAACAGACAAAAAAAAACATCTGTGCATTATGCTAAATATTAAACAAACCATCTTTAGATTTTATTATAGGCAGACAAATAAATTTGCATATTAGTATTACATTAGTATTATATATCATTATTTTTAATTGACCTTAAAAAATGCCACACTTCCTCTTTAATGGCATAATATTGCAGTTCTTTGCAATAAGAATGGTGGGAGAAATACTATCTTTTTATCTCAACTCATGTCAACCTATTTTTAAATACACTTTCGCTGTAATAGGATTCCTGACAGGCTGTGCTCTGGACAATTCTTCTCAAACGGAAACACGATCTGTCTCCGCACTTCTACCTGCCCGCTCAGGGATGATCACCCCCTGTAACCTCAGACACAGAGCAAGACAGATGTAGGATTTCAAGCACATCTGAAAAAGATATTTTACTAGAAGCATCTGGGAATGATGCATGACAAAGGAAGGCTGAGCCTTCAGGATTCAAGAGGCAGAGACATTTGAGAACATCTGTCTGCGTTTGAACTACAAAACCCAGAATCCTTGTCCATCTGTGGACATCGAGATTTAGAAAACAGTGGTTTATCAACCTAGAAATACACGTTCATTCATCACTAGTAACTGGACATAGTTGATTATTCGTACGTATGAAAATTATGGGATTAGGGCATTACTGTCTGTTTTCAGTTTATACAGATTATCCGGTTTTGTTTTTTTTAACCAATAAAAATTACAGATTGAGAGACTCGAATACCTGTCTGCTATCTTTTGGGTTGCAAGACTCTAGCATAACGAGTGCTCCAGTGGAAAATGAGGTGATCGACAGACACTTGTCCTGCTGGCGGATTAAGGCCTCACCGAAAACCCACTCCTAACAGGGAAAAATAAAATACAAATTAAAATGCAAAGTTACAATGTAGACGTCCCATTCCTCAGGTTATACAGGTGTGCACGAAATTCCGAATGAATTTTATCCCTGCATTGCTTTAATTATATTCTTACTCCTGGATTTCCAATCTTAGAGAAAGGAAGTTTTACTAAACTAAACAGAATATGTGGATCATACTTTATTATGTTGTAATCTATTTAATTATTCACTACCTTTATCATTAAAAAAAAAAAAAAAATTTATCAAAAGGATCTCAAATTTTACCATGGTAGATATATATTTACTACAAATTAATATTTTTGTTTTCATTGAAGTGACCAGGGCTGCACAATCCTTTTGAACTTACTGAGCTTTGGTAGATACTGCCACATCAAAGGCAAGTCAACATTGAACATCTAAGTTTACCTACAAAACCACACACCCACCTCTGCTGTCCCAAGGAACACTGCCCTGCTGAACTGCGGATGACATTTAAGGAATTCAGTAGAATAACGAAATTGCTAATTTGTCAAAGCTGCTTACAACATGGATTCAGCCATATTGTTCCAGATTTAACAGCTAACTAATTTAACAGGTTACTTGCACGACTTAAAAAGACACAGTTCTATTCCCTGATGTTTATTTACTAAACACAGAATTGTGATAAATTGATAATTGATGCAAAAATAGCTCCAACTCACCTGTAATCAAAGTTAGACTATTTTAGCCAAATGCTGCAATTTATTTTTCAATTCACTACAAATTCTCTGATTAGTAAATAGTCAATATTTTTTTCCCGCAGTTTATGTTTCCATCATAGTCTGCTATTTTTGGTGTCAAATTTCGACATTTGTAAAGCAAACCAGGCTGTTAATGGCTTGTTGCATATCACCATCAGTGGAGAGCAGAGTGCAGGAGAGGTTTTCGGTGCTACAGCCAAATACTTGGCTTTTAGTTTTGTTTTTGTAAATATTCATTTCTGGCAGGAGGATAGCTAGACATTCCATCACATGTGTAATTAATGATGCCATCTTCGGGCTGGATGCCATTTAACCCAGCAAAAGATAAAAAGGAGAGCTTGGCACAGCAACTTAATCTTCAGCACTCTCAATGGCACTGACAGAGTTACATGCACAAATTAAAGAAAACATGTCTGGCCAACTATTCTTATCAAGACTTTTAAAAGGTAAAATCTGAGCCAGACATTTCCTCTGAGATTGTGAACTGTTGTACTTACATATTTATGCATCTATGTACCTCAATAAATCACGTATATTATTGTTATAACGTAGCACTAGACTGTCATTCTTGATGACCAAAAAGATTATTCTATTCTATACGCAAACTCTTGCTTATCTCCTTCCTGTTATATTACTGTGTTCTGTTTGTTTTTTTTAATCAACCCACAAAAGGACTTATTGTTCGTGGTTTTACATTTTTTCCGGCAGAGGAATCATATTTAAAAAGGAATATCTCCAGTAATAAAGTTCATTTCAGATATTGCGATTGAATTCTAAAATATAATTCATGCAAATTAATGTACTCTTCCCATGATCCTCTGGTAAGTCAAATGGTGCCAGTAAGTGAACTTAGCCAGTTTAAGTCTATTTATTGATTGCTACATTAAGTTATTCAGATATTTAGGATACCTGGGAGTTCAACATTTTGGAAAGCAGTGAAAATGAGCAATGGCCAACTCCTTGCAATTTACAATTTGGTGAATTTGGTATAACTGTGTACATGCAGTAATTACCCCACTCTGGAACCGATTTATCAAATGGTCTTTCAATGTAGGAGGGAAAGGGATGGAAAATCGTTCTAGACTTGTCAAGTGTTGGGGACAGAAAACAAAGATGTATCTCTGGGCTGATTCTTCTTCACTATTAGAAAATCAATGAGGCATTTCCAACTAGGGTCATCCGGGAATTACAACTGAAAGTGAAGTGTATGTTTAACTCCTCAATAGCCAATGAAGGTATATTGCATCACAACAATCATTTCTATAAGAATTTGGAAAAGTCCAAAATGTGAATGGCTCACTAATGGCAAGATGTGAGGGAACTGCCAGAGCTGGATAATCTAGAACTTCAATGACCTTCAATTCTAGTGTTTAACCCCTTAAGGACCAAACTTCTGGAATAAAAGGTAATCATGACATGTCACATGTCATGTGTCCTTAAGGGGTTAAAGATCTTCATTGGGATGAAGACAGAGTATAATGTTTGGGCCTTAAGGAGTTAATATTTATTGGGTCGCATCCCAATAATCTATAGCAGTGTTGGAAGTTCTGTATTATTTAATCCATATTTGGGTGAGGACAACAGATGTTTAACAAAACATACAAAATCTGATGTATTTGTGTGGGTGCCTCCATTAAAATTACAGTTCTCATTCTTTGTTCTATTTACCCAAAGGGTTATGTCTCAAATAGTCGAGGAGCACGCCAGTGCCAGTTTAAGTTAATTGTATTTCATGAGAAATGTTGAAATTAAGAGCACTCACAATGAAAGGTTGACACTGGACAAAACGTAGCTGAAAAAGCTCTGTGACAAACGTTACTCGGAAAAGGATTAAGAAATACTGTATTAACAGATGTAATATTTTCATTCATATGAATGAAATGTAATATATATATATATATATATATATATATATATATATATATATATATATATATATATATATATATATATATATATATATATATATATATATTTCCTGGCCATATCCATGGCAGCACAACATTGGGGTAGCTCCTCCCTATCCCCATTGGACAGGAATAATTATTAAGCTGTATAAGTACCACCTCCTACCCCTCCTTCCCCAGTCTTTTTTTCCTGTCCTATCCCTAGGACATGTCGGTCTTTTCAGACTATTAGAATTTCTTTATGGCTTACCTGAGGATTAGTTCCTCTGGCCCCTGGGGAGTTCACCCTCTCTCCCCTGGGAAGTCTCCAGTATACGGCCCTGCGCAAAGGTGTCCCTCCACCTGGAGAGAACCCCTTTAGTGACCGGGGGTTTTACCTTCCTATGATTCTTCCAATAATGTAGCAAGTGGAATAACATGGAATTATGGCTGGTTTCCGGACTTGGAATCTCCCCCCAGAATCAAGGTAATGGCTCCATGATTTGGTTCTTACCTGTAAGATTATTCTTCTGAAGATACAGTAGGTAATCGGTCTCCTTCTCTAAGAAAACTGTAATCTCTATGTGCTGGGGTTCCCCTGTGCCTGCACGGCGTTCGGGAATTCCTGTGCGCCTGCGCGGCGTTCGGGAGTTCCTGTGCGCCTGCGCGGCGTTCGGGAGTCTCATGGGCGCCTGTGCGGCATTCGTGGGCTCCTGGACGCCATGCGCGACGTTCGGTTGTTTCTAAGCGTTCGCGCGGCTTCGTTTGAATAAGCGCGCGAACGCGATTAACGAATTAGCACGATCGCGCGCTAAATCTATCCATTTGGGCCGTTCGCGCGTTTTTTTCGCTCATTTGCGCATGCGCGATGACATCAGATACCCTTCTTAAAGCGCCAGACCTCTTTTTCAGAGTAGGTTGAGCTTCTTCGTCCAGGAAATTTTTTTCTGCACAATTCTGTTGGTTCTTCGCCTTTCCAGGTTCCTTTTTTCTTCTCAAGCATCGAAGTAAGTTTTTCTCCCCTCTTATTTTTATTTTTTTATATATATTTCTTCTTGGTATTAGTTTCGCTGTTCCATCTATTCTTTATAGATGGATTCTCGCTCAGGATCCAGGGAATCGGATTCTTCTCATCACAATAGGTCACAATCTAAGCAATATAGGTAAGCCATCCTTTTTAAAAAAAAAAAAAAAAAGAGAGGTAATGTACTAATGAGCACGTTTGTTGTATTTCAGTGCTAAAAGTACAAAGACTTCAGGATCGTCCAAGGGGAAGTCGCCCAAAAGGACGCTGTGTATATCCTGTGATAACAGAGCCATAGAAGGAAAACATCTCTGTTCAGATTGTCTCTCAGCAGCAGCTGGCCCTTCTCATTCAACACCGGACTTTATGCAACTTATTAAGCATGCAGTTGCCCAGGGTATAAGAGAGGTTGGTAAGACCCACAAGCGGCCTAGATATTCTGAGCCCTCAGATTTATCTCCAGGAAACTCTGAAGAAGAGTTAATGGATTCAGCTTCTCTGAGAGACCTAGCTTTTTCCTCGGAGGAGGAGGCTATCCCTGATCCTGACTTCCTGGTACCTGCGGAGGTGGATCATTTAATTGCTCGGGTCAGAGAAACCCATACCTTGAAGGAACCCTCAGAGGAGGAACCGTCTACATCTAACCGCTATTTCTCTGATCTTAGAAGAAAGAGAGCGGCTTTCCCTGTGCATACCACAATTAGTGACCTTATTAAAGAAGAATGGTCCAGGTCTGACCGGAGATCATCTGCAAAAGGGAAGTTCTCAAGATTATATCCGTTTCATTCCAGAGATGCTGAAACATGGGATTTTCCACCTAAAGTTGATGCTGCAGTGGTCAGACTAGCCAAGCACACTACCCTTCCTGTAGACGATGCAGGTTCCTTCAGGGATCCTATGGATCGTAAGATGGAATACTACCTTTCCAAATCCTATGTAGCCTCAGGCACAAGTGCTCTCACGTCAGTTACAAGAGCTATGAAGGTTTGGATACAGGAGCTGGAAGGGGACATCATGAGTGGCAGAAGCCGTTCTTCCATTGTGGAGGACCTAAGAGATATGCGTCTAGCAATTGATTTTTCATCAGAAGCTGCAGTGGATCTGGTAAGGAGCCTTGCTAGAAATATGTCCTTCTCGATTTCCTCTAGGCGAGCATTTTGGCTCAGATCTTGGGCAGCCGATGCTTCCTCCAAGAATAGTTTGTGTTCTTTGCCATTTCACGGGAGTATGTTATTTGGCAAGAATTTGGACGAATGCATTAAGAGGGCGGCTGAAGGGAATAAAGCCTTTCTACCTCAGGAGAGAAAGTATAAAGGATCCTTTCGTGCCCGGAAAGAGTACCATTCCTTTCGTGACAGTAGGTCCTACAAACCGGGCAGAGAATATTCCAGATTTCAACCTGGGAGAGGAGCCCCAGCTGGAAACAGAGGAGGCAAGTCACGCGGTTCATCTTCCTATAAAAACCAGAGGAATTTATGACTATATAATTCCCAAATCCTGAAGGTGTCGGGGCTTGTCTTCTCCAATATCTACCGATATGGGGAGTATCCACAAGCGACGGTTGGGTACTGGATATTATTCGGAGAGGTTACTTGATAGAATTTCTCGAGCATCCTCCAAGCAGGTCCTTTCACCTCACAAAGTGGCCAGGGGACAAGGAAAAGTGCATGGCCTTACAAGACTTCATCCTTTCCTTGCAGAAGGAGAAAGTTATCACCAAAGTGACAGCCGGCGAGAGAACTCAAGGGTTCTACTCCCACATCTTCTTAACGAAGAAATCCTCAGGGGGATGGAGACCCATTCTGGATCTACACAGGCTAAACAAGCATCTGCACATTCGCAGGTTCAAAATGGAATCCCCACAATCTATAATAAAAGTAGTGTCACCCAACCAATGGATGCTGTCCATAGATCTGTTAGATGCGTACTTTCACATACCCATCGCCCAAACTCATCAAAAGTTTCTGAGGTTTGCTGTGGAAGAAGGTCACTTCCAGTTCAGGGCCCTCCCCTTTGGACTGAGCACAGCTCCGAGGACATTTACAAAGGTCCTGATTGTTCTCATTGCAGAACTCAGAAAGCAGAACATTGCGATTTACCATTATTTGGACGACATCTTGATCTTAGGAAACAACGTAGATTCTCTGACATCCCATGCTATTACCAGCATTCAGTTTCTGCAAGCTCACGGCTGGAAGATCAACACCAAGAAGAGCCACCTCCACCCAACGCAATCTATGGTTTACTTAGGTGCTCACTTCGACACTCTAAAGGGCACTGTTCAACTTTCATCAGCAAGAATACGGAAACTCAAGATGTTATTGAGAAGAATGCTGATATCCAGGGTGGCCCCGGCAAAGGCCATAATGAGCCTCCTTGGTTCCATGTCCTCCACAATAGGACTGACCAGATGGGCACAGTGGAGAATGAGACCATTCCAAGCCAATTTCCTGAGACAGTTCTCCTCCGGGAACCTGCACCAACCCATCAAACTTTCCCTGAATGTACGCCATTCTCTAATCTGGTGGTTAAACAGGGAGCACCTATCAAAGGGTTTTCCACTAGGAGATATCGCGTGGATAACTGTGACAACGGATGCCAGCCAATGGGGATGGGGCGCTCATTGTCTCCACGACTTTGCGCAGGAAGAATGGAGTTTCAGGGCAAACAATGTTCATTCCAATTGCCTAGAGCTTCTGGCTGTCCTCAAAGCATTGAAACACTTCTCGAATCATCTCAAGGGGCAATGGGTGAAGATAAGGACGGACAACTCCACGGTGGTATCCTATGTCAATCACCAAGGGGGTACCAGGAGCTGCAAGATGATGGAAATCATGAATCACCTGATGTGGTGGGCTCAGAGAAACCTGGCGGGCCTTACTGCCATCCATCTACCAGGGAAACGGAATCAGCTGGCGGATTTTCTCAGCAGATCCAGGATAGATCTGGGGGAATGGTGCCTCTCAGACAGTGTATTCCGCTTGATTGTGGACAAATGGGGTCTCCCTCAAGTAGACCTTCTAGCCACTCGGGCCAACAGAAAAGTAAAGCTTTTCTTCACGAAAGAAGACGACCACCTAGCACTGGGGAGGGATGCTTTATCAAGCCCCTGGAGGTTCAGGATGGGCTATGCCTTTCCCCCATTTCCACTAATTCTCCCGCTCCTGAGGAAGATGAGAACAGAGCAGGTGTCTCTCATCCTGATTGCGCCTTATTGGCCTCGAAGACCCTGGTTTCCTCTGCTTCAAAGTCTTTTGGTGGAACCTCCTCTCCCACTCCCCAGAACTCCGGATCTTCTGTTCCAAGGTCCTGTGTTTCATCCAAATCCGGTCTCTCTCAATCTCATGGCTTGGAGACTGAAAGGAACCGGCTTTTGAGTAAAGGATTCTCCCAGGACGTTATAGGCACTATGCTGAAGGCACGTAAGCATTCCACTTCAGCCACTTATTATAGAGTGTGGGAAGTTTTCTCTGACTGGGCCCTTCACAGGAACATTAATATTCAAGATCCTTCCTCCTCTAATATTTTGGAGTTCCTGCAGTCTGGGCTTGCTAAAGGGCTGAGCTATAACACTCTCAAGGTGCACGTCTCAGCTTTGTCCGCTCTAACCAATCATCGATGGGCACTGGACGCGGATGTCATCAGGTTCATCAAAGGAGTCCTTCAGATAAAACCTCCTATTAAACCATTTGTTCCATCTTGGAATCTCCCTTTGGTCTTGAATGCCCTAAAGTTGGAACCTTTTGAACCGTTTGACACAGTTCCTCTTCATGCTCTCTCTATTAAGACTGCTCTGCTGATTGCCCTAGCTTCCGGCAGGAGGGTTTCTGAGCTCCATGCTCTATCCATTAAGGAGCCTTTTACGGTCTTTCACAAAGACAGAGTTGTCCTCCGTACGGTTCCCGAATTTCGACCTAAAGTCACCTCCTCCTTTCACATCAACGAGGATATTGTTCTTCCATCTCTGAGGTCTGACTCCCAAGAAATGGAGAATTCTACTAACCTATCTTCTCTGGATCTAGTAAGATGTCTCCAGATATATATTGATAGGACTTCTGCTTGGCGTACTTCTCACAGTCTTTTCGTCCTTCATTGCGGCTGTAAAAAGGGCTCACAAGCTCCCAAATCTACCATTAGCAGGTGGATAGTAGCAGCTATTATTCTGGCTTATCAATCTGCTGGATATCCGGTCCCTGTGGGTCTTAAAGCCCATTCCACGAGGGCTCTCTCATCTTCCTGGGCAGCCGCTGCTAATGTTTCTCCTGAACTCATTTGTAAAGCAGCTACATGGTCTTCCTCTAACACTTTCATTAAGAGCTACCAAATTGATGTTAGAGCAGGTATATCTGATCAATTTGCTAAATCAGTTCTGTCTGTATCCAATGCCTGATTTCTATTTTTTTCACTTGTTGTGGTGTTAATACACTTTGCATTCAAATTTTTGGAGTCTGTGTCTCTTTCCCTCCCTGGTTTATTGCTTGGGTATTACCCAATGTTGTGCTGCCATGGATATGGCCAGGAAAATGGAAAATTTATTCATACTTACCGTAATTTTCTTTTCCTGGTCATATGCCATGGCAGCACAAGGGTCCCACCCAGGGCTATTGCTGGAAAACATGACTGGGGAAGGAGGGGTAGGAGGTGGTACTTATACAGCTTAATAATTATTCCTGTCCAATGGGGATAGGGAGGAGCTACCCCAATGTTGTGCTGCCATGGCATATGACCAGGAAAAGAAAATTACGGTAAGTATGAATAAATTTTCCATTATATATAAATATGAAATATAAATGCATTCAGTGTGATACTTTCTTTCTGAGGCTCGTCAGAGGTAAAAAAAAAAGTATCTCATATCATCTAAATGTTAATTAAAGCACCTGTGACGACGGTGTATTTTTGCCAGTCCCTTTGCAGACCCCGACACCAGCTAATACATTCCCTGCAGTGTCTTCCCCTTGAGATTCTAGGCAGTGGACTCCTTGCTTTATGACTCTTGTTACAGCTTCTTTCTCAGGAATTCTAAAATACAAAGAAACAACGTGTCAAACTTGGCCACAACCCTGACAATCCAATCCCCGCAATTCAGAATACTTACTTTAGTTCTGGGTAGACATTCTGAAGGTACCACTGGAAAGATTTACAGTTCATTTTTTTGCGTAACTCTACTCTTTCAGACACACTAGACGATTAAGAGAATTAACATAATTTGTTAGTACTGGGAAGAACATTCGAGTAAATTTGTCACATATTCGTAAATTTAGACGTAAATTTCTCATCTCAAAAAAGAACACTGTATTATATATTTTTACAACTTCAAAATGTGTAATAGTTTAGGAAATACGATAAACATTTCTCAATAACCATTTTTAAAATGATCTTTTGTTGAAAGACATGCATTAAAAATGTACACAGGAAAAACAAATTGCCCAGTATATAATTATGCAAGATCCGTGCAAGGAATCTGAGTGTTAAGGTCAAGCAAAGGGATTAACATAAGTGAAATTAATCAGCTTACAATGAGTCCAATCAGAGTCACGGAGAAAGGATTGCTATAACTGACACTGTTACCGTTTTGTGCGGTTATAAATGAGTTTACAGAGGGGAGTCACAGACCCACCAACTGATCCAGATAAAATACGTCTCCCAGGTAGATGTCACTTCTAACCCATATATTGTTTTATAGAGTACCACATTGTATGTTATTATAATGTTCGTAGGCAGGACTGCTGACATGGGAGACCTCTTGTTTGTGTGACTTTACTAAGGGTTGCTTCAGACAGATCCTTCCAAAATATGAAGAGTAATTGGGTATATGTCATTGTATCTCAACAAAAGGCTTCCTAATTATTCAGGTACCTATTGAGTTCACTTTCTTTCTGTTCATGTGGTCAGGTGTTGTCCAATTAAACCAAAGGGATGGTATAAATGAACAGAACTGTATAATTATATAAATTGATAAAGCATCCCCAGAGTGATGTAAGCGTCTAAGACAGTAGCAGGTGCACTTTACATCTAGAGAGAAGATTCCTTCTCTAAAAATTACTCCCAACACAAAAACAACAAAGGGCTGGGAAGATCGGATTTGTACCAGAAAGAGAAAAGACAGATGGTTAGAAAACAAGAAGAGAGTGTTCACTCACCTCCCAAACGCCTTGCCAATAGCAGATGGTCGAGCTTGATAGTAATACTGTTTATATTCATCCATCCACACTTCAGCTGTTCGCTTGGTGTTCCTGATGTGAACGAAAAACTCTTGTTACATGGGTTAGGTCCGAAAAATATCTCATTGATATATCATTTGTTACATTACCTCAAAACACACAACAAATAGATTACATTGAGAATCTCACCAAATACTTTTTGTCAATATTTTTACCATTATCGTTTCTGTAAAAATGAGCCCTATACTTCTGGATAATCAGATAAATCAAACATATTAAATCAAGGCCTAAGGTAGCACAAGAAATACATAAGTACACTATACAAAAATAAAAATGTCCAATTAGAAAATAAAGAAACCTTTATGAATGTTGATTTGAAATATGGGTTAATGACACGTTTAATTTGTTATCATCACCACTGAATTATAAAAACTAGTCAAGCAAGCAGGTCAGATCTTTCCAAGATGGATTCATAGTCACCAAAACAACTTTGGCTTAATGAAGCAGTTTTGGTGTATATAACATGCCCCTCCAGCCTCACTGCTCAATTCTCTGCCATTTTTGAGTTAAATCACTTTGTTTATGAACCCTAGTCACACCTCCCTGCATGTGACTTGCACAGCCTTCATAAACACTTCCTGTAAAGAGTCATCTAAAGTTTATCCTTTCTTTATTGCAAGTTTTGTTTAATTTAGATTTTCTTACCCCCTGCTATGTTAATAGCTTGCTAGACCCTGCAAGAGCCTCCTGTGTGTGATTAAAGTTCAATTTACAGAGCAAAAGATAAAAAAATGTTAAGGTAAATTACATCTGACTGAAAGTGAAACCATTTTTTTTCATGCAGGCTCTGTCAATCATAGCAAGGGGAGGTGTGGCTAGGGCTGCATAAACAGAAATAACGTGATTTAACTCCTAGATGGCAGTGAATTGAGAGGCATGATCTATACACTAAAACAGCATCATTAAGCTAACAGCGTTAACATCAGAAATAAGTTGCTACGTTGTGACAGATTGATATCATGCTGAAACTCTTGCACAATATTAGCTGAGAGTCAGAAAACTTTATAGATTGGATAATCATACTGGATACATTTCCCCAAGTGGGTATCAAAAAAAAAAGTCTTTAAGGTGTTTTTGATTTTTAACTTTTTCACCATCATAGCAGTTTGAGCAATCTTAAAAATGTTTGCCAGCATGGCTTAGCATTGGTGGGTCATTCCTTTTTGGAACAGTATGCTTAAATAACAGAATGTTGTGATAGTCATCACCGATCCTTAAATGGTTAAGGACCAGGTTGCTGTGATTAAAGATAGTCATTGGTCCTTAAAATAAAACACTTGGTATATAAAAACCACATCCAGTGAAATTGGACAATAAATAGAGGATCGTGCTGAATAATGCAACAGACAGGACCAAATGTGCAATAAATCAACGCGTTCAGCTCTATTAAACTGCTATAATAGCAGGCTTCAATATAAACTACTGGGGAGTGAGCTACCTCTAATTAATATATCGTGCTAGTATATATAATTACTTGTATCAGTAAGCACTGGTATTTATGCTGGAAACTAGTAGATAAATTCTGCTAGGTATAAAATCGAATTTAAAAAAATAGAAAATAAAGGAATGTATTGAAAAAACAAAGATGCCTTACAAATATTTTGTGGGACAACAAATGCAGGTGGTTGCTGTCTATGGCGTGCTCTTTGTGTAGGTTAGATCCCCAGTTTAGGCTGGCATGGCATCATGGAAAATAAAGTCCACAAATGTCTCTGGGTCCACTGATAGCCATCAGTTCCCTAGCCCCTTTCCCAGATTTCTCCTACGTGATATTTTCAGGATTCATGCAAAATTTAACAAGTCTCCATCTATAGACCAGTTATTTGCATGCCCTGTCACACCATGATCTAACCCTTTGTGTACCAGACTTAATGGCACTCCTTTCCTGACTCCTCTTTGTAGTCAGAGGGTTAAGTGCTAGTGGGGCTCACCATGAAGTGGGTCATCGCACGCTTTAGGATCTTATGGCTCTAGGAATATTAAATTAGCTGATAATTAGCACACAGACACAATCTATAAGCACAATCAATACTAGTTGTATAGTGCCCATTGCTCAAATGGTTAGAAATGGATTCTGAATATATTAGTCATACATAAAGCCTGTATTCCGAACGCTATCGTGCCCTATAAATGTAAAAACTCATTCACCAGAAGTGAAGCGCTAACGAAACTAAAGGGGATTAAGTTTCCCTCTTGTACATGTGATTCACAGGGAGTAAAATCCACAATATATGTAAAATAAACGAGAACAAAACCAATATAAAGTGAAGATTGTACAATACAAAGTGTAACAAGAAAGTAGTACTAGGTACACTCACATGTAGTTGAGCTTAAAAATAGAGGCTTGCTTTATAAGCAGATGTACCTTCCCAGGTGGCACTACACCTTTCTTCAAGTAGGGTCTCTCTCCCTCAGGAAGAAAATATGGACAGTAGATAATGCAATGTATCAGAGGAACCTTGTATAAATATATTTTAGATTGTCCTCACGTTCTATAGAGCCTTTCCACTCCTAGGCTCTAAGGTGTAGGAGCCTTATGTCAGTATTGTGGTGTGACACTCCCTAAAACCATCTGGCAGGAGACTGGAGATGAAATGCTTCTTCTAGTGATTTCAAATCAATTTATTGATTTTACTCCCTGTGAATTACATGTACAAGAGGGTAAGATTCCTCTTTTGTTTTGTTAGTGCGCCACTTCTGGTTTATATGTGTTTTAAGTTGTAGTTCACTTTTGTGAGTTTTATTGGTCTAATTATTGGTGAGGGTTCTGAGATCACCGTTCATGAGTGCTTTTTCATTAGTGTTATACTGAAGCACGTCTTGCACACCACTGTTTTTTGCACTTTTGACTATAGTGGCCTAGTTCATAGATTAGTGGGCTCCCCATTTTGCAGTAAAAAAAAAATATATATTTAAAAAATAGTTTTACTTAACTTTTTCCAGCACAGAAACTCCTTCAATGCTGCTGACCTCTCCGCCTCCCCCGATGTCATCAAGGTGGCGTCGGTTCACAGGACAGATGCGCATGCGAGGCGAGTGCTGCACATGCATACAATGCTTCTCATAGGAAAGCATTGAATCCAGTGCTTTCCTGAGAGCTGCAACGTTCCATGACGGAATTTGAATTGGTTGTTGTCCAAAAGCACCTCTAGTGGCTGTCTGGATGTGTCTAACCCTTAAAGGTAAACATTGCCATTTCTGAAAAACATTTCTGTTTTACCTTGTAGAGCTGAAACTACAGGACCAGATAGAGATGAAGTGGTCTGGGTAACTTTAGTGGTCCTTACATGTTCTATGTCTATACATGAGCTACTCATTTTGGTATGAGTTACTGGGACACGGACAATCATCATCCGATGTCCACTGAACCTCTGTTGGCATATATAAGTTACCTACAGCAGTTAAATAGCCCAGTTAAAAGTTACATTAGAGCATTCTTTGTATTGGTGAACTAAACAGAAAAGGTGATTAAAAGTATATATTTTTATCTTTCTGATAATTATTGGTCTGATTATATGCATGGAGAATTGTAATTTGTGTGCTGATTAAACTCACTCCTTGACAGGATTTGCCATCAAAATCTTTAGAGCTTTGTTGAAAGATGGCCTTAGAGGGACACGGTCATGGAAAATTCACCTTTCATATGTTGCATCATATATTAATATCTGCTACTTTGTAAAAGCTCTAATAACAGGGCCGGATTAACATAGGGGCTGATGGAGCTGCAGCTCCAGGCCCAGGCCCACCTGGCTTTTATTTTATTGGCACAGCCAGTATTTGAGGCTGCCTGGCTGGTGCCAATATTACAGTGATACTGGCAATACAAATTCTAGTATTTTTCTCAGTATAAACAAGAGATTACTATGCAATACCAGCACTGGCCAGTAGGGGTCGCTGTGTGTGGAGACAGGCAGGGATAGGAAGTTCCAGCATATCCCTCCCTGCCTATCTATACTCACTGATCTGCAGGGGAGCAGCTACAGAGAGTCCAGACAGCAACTCCCACCTGCAGAGACAGCCTACAGCTCAGGGAAGTAAGGGATGGGGGGAAAGCTGCAATGAGACATACACTGAGACACTAAGGGACATTGGGAGACATTATGGCAGACACTGAGACACTAAGGGACATTGGGAGACATTGGGAAACATTATGGCAGACACTGAGACACTAAAGGACACTGGGAGACATTATGGCAGACACAGACACTAAGGGACACTGGGAGACATTATGGCAGACACTGAGACACTAAGGGACACTGGGAGACATTATGGCAGACACTGAGACACTAAGGGACATTGGGAGATATTATGACACAGACACATGGGGACACAGTGTCCCCATGTCTCCCAGCCAGTGTCCCTGTTGTCTCAGTGCCCCCTTGTCTCCCAGTGACCCCTAGTCTCCCAGTCTGCCAGTGTCTCACTGTCCCCATGTCTCCTAGTGCCTCCATGTCTCTCATTGCCTAAAGTGTCACAATGTCCCCATGTCTCCAAGCTAGTGTCCCTAGTGTCTGTGGCCCTGGTGTCTCAGTGTCCCCATGTCTCAATGTCCCCCAGCCAGTGTCTCTGATGTCTGTGTCCCCATGTCTTCAAGTGTCCCCTATTTTCCCATTGTCCCCATGTGTCCCAGCCAGAGTCCCCTAGTCTCCCAGTGTCACTTGTGTCTCCGTGTCCCTAGGTCTCCCCATGTCCCCAGGTCTCCTCGTCTTCCTAGTGTCCTAGTGACATGGGGACCCTGGGATACATGGGGACACAGGGCATTGAGACACTGATACATAGGAACACTGAGACCTGGAGTAATCGACACATGGGGGCACTGAGTCATGGGGGCACTGGGAGGAATCCATCTATACAGCAGAATCAAACTTATAGTTTTTTGGGGGATTTTACGGCATTTTCTCTTATGTCACTCCTTTTTTTTTTCCAAGAAAGGTGGCAACCCTAACTACTTTTCACATACTCTTACTGAAGTATGGAAACTTAAGTGGGATGTATGGGAACAAAACTTGTGTGGACTGGCTGACAATGAATATAGTTAAAGGGACACTATAGTCACCAGAACAACTACAGCTTATTGAATTTGTTCTGGTGAGTATAATCATTACCGTCAGGCTTTTTGATGTAAACACTGTCTTTTCAGAGAAAATGCAGTCTTTACATTACATCCTAGTGATAACTTCACTGGCCACTCCTTAGATGGCTGTTAGAGATCCTTCCTGGGTCATGGCTGGCTAAACATTCAGTGTCTCCTCCCTCTGCATGCAGACACTGAACTTTCCTCATAGAGATTCATTGATTCAATTCATCTCTATGACGAGATACTGATTGGCCATGGCTGTGTTTGAATCATGCTGGCTCTGACCCTGATCTGCCTCTTTGTCAGTCTCAGCCAATCCTATGGGGAAGCACTATGATTGGATCAGGCCACCACTTCTAATGATGTCAGCAGACTGCTTGTTTTTATGAGTCTAACAGCATGCAGAGTTACAGCTTCGGGCTTATAGTAAGATTTTGCTATATTTATGGAGACATGAGGGGCCCAGGGGGGCTAGATGGTGGTTTTAACACTATAGGGTCATGAATTCATGTTTGTGTTCCTGACCCTATAGTGATCCTTTAAGGTAATGCTGACTTTGGTCCTCTAACACTGTGGCATGTTCCCTTTCTTCTACACTCACTACATACAGCTTTTCTCTGTCCCAGACCATATACCAGGAGCTTCTGCCTGCTAGTAAGAAGGTAAGGAGACAAGTGGACCAGCGAGTGCTAGGGGACAGTGCTTAGAAAGCATTGAGTGAGCGCATCATTAGATGCATTTATGCCAAGCTCAGGGTGCTGTCTGCATAGTATGCCCTTAGTTGGCCAGCTGCATGATTGGCAGGCAGCCTGACATGCATTCATGCCAGGCTGGCCTTCTATTTCTTTGAGCAGACATGTCCTCTTTTTGGGCATGTTCGCCCCTTTTGGCAGGTTACGTGATTACGTGATTTGTGTCAGTTGCACACCCTTTTACCATGCCCATTGACTTCCTGCCTGATAACAGGGACTATGGGAGCCCAGCATATATAACCGAGTTCTAGTGATTATGGTGTTTGGGGCGTTCCTATTAACGTGTCCACAGCACTGTATTCATTACTATCCTTGGAGTGCCTATAAGCACTATGATTTGCAAATGTCAGTCTGCAGACTGTCATGTCAGTAGAACATATATAAACCATGTTTATGTTTCACCTACTCCAATGCACCTTATATCCCTGGCACCACCAGGATTGAACTAGATTGTGATAAACTGCCAAATATTAAATATACATATATAAAATAAATAAGTAAATAAATAAAAGTAAAAGCACCACTTGAGAAAAAAGGGTGAATACAAGTTATAGGCAATTTTTGATGCTTTACTCAATGGAGTCATTTTGAACGTGACAATCCCCTTTTTAGCAAATTTTTGTTTTTCAGATCTACTGGTTGGCACAGGGGAATACTGCTTAATCTAAGGCTTAGATATTGGAGGCTGCTGAAGCCTGCATCCCTGAATCCAACCATGTTAAACGGATTGTGTGATAACGATCTTTCTCAATTAAAAATAAATTAGGGATGTGATAGAAAAAGGCTAATCAATGATCATCCATGCACATTTACTTTAACAAATGGCAACAATGTAGAATTCAGTGTTGCAGACAGCGAATAACTTAAATAGTGCAGAGCACCTGTTCGTACGTACTTTATGTAAGTCAACGCGTTTCCGTCTGGGAACTCATACGGGTGACGTTTTCTAAACACATGTCCAACGCGGCTGCAAGGCACAATTTCCAAGCTTCCAGAACACATCCAGACACGGAAAGACAGCTCTGTAAAAAAACATTCACATAGTGACTTTACAAACAACACCAACAGCTGACACCAATGTATATCACAATGTTAATATTTGTGAGTATTCTAAGAGAGTATATGACAATAATCAGGTCTTTAGCGGCAGGACACCATCCGATATGCAGATATATATCTTAATAAATAGATTTCTTGATCTGGGTGAAAATGCCAAAATAAAACCCATTTCTAAATCTGCCTCTAACATGTGCTGTTTAGACAATGCTGCAGCTATGTTTGTTTGACTAAAGTCAAGTAAGGAACAATAAACGAGAATTATTTTATTTTAATTAAAAAATTACCCACAACTGCAACCGTTTTTACTTTCCGCTGGGGTAAAACACATATTTTCGGTCCGTTAGGCCTGGTGGTTGGTCTGACAGTAGAAGAATATGTGCAGCTGTATTTGAGACATTCAGGGTAACGAAGGCATTGTGACTGATGTCACCATTATATTTAAGTACCTCTAGTCTCACTAGCAATACTGCTTGAGATTGAACATTTATTTTATGTCAGAGTCTCTTTAATGTAACAAAATGTACCCAGTGTAACTTGGAATCACAAAATGTAGATCCCTAACCTTAAAGGGTCACTCCAGACCCTTAAACAACTTTAGGTTACTGAAAAGCGTCATGTATGAAAAGTGTGTCCTCGTATTTAATTTTGCAAAAAGTTCAGATTTCAATCGAAATTGACACCTTTATATTGGTTACACCCCCTTGGCTTTCAAGAAGACAACAGGTAATGTTACTTCCTGGTTTCGTTAGCTGAATGCAGCTAACCTCAAGAGGCAGCAATTGCCCAGGGCACCTGCTTACAAAGACTTCTCACTGAGCTGCATTAAAAAGTCTGTGATTGGACAGTCACAGAAAAACTGGGCGGGGCTAGAAGGGGAGAGCTTGCAAAGGCAGCAGACCTTTGCAAGCTCTCTAAAATTGCAAACTGATTTTAGATATAGTCCCAATAAAAAAAAAATACATAATTAAATGCATGCGAGTTTTCATTTGGAATATATATCTACTAAACAGTGATTTTTTTTTATTTTGTACTTGGGAAGTGGAGTGTCCCTTTACGGCTGACAAAGCATTATTGGAGTTTTACAACAAACCGCAATCTATTTTTGGCCAGCTGGTGCTATATGGTTTTCTTGAGAAAATGATGATCGGTACATCTATGTATAAGTGACTGCCTGCCTTTACTGTAAAATAAATAATTTAGTTTTTTTGAAAATTGAATCACAAGTCCCGGTTTCATAGATAATCCTGCAATCCTCTTCTTAAAACCCTGCTTCAATAAAGCTAATGCTAAATACATCTGTGTAATGAGATTTTAGGCCTGTGGAGAGTTATTATCCATATAGCTTTGGATTTACAAGTCTAATGTCTGGGCCTGGAGTTCCAGAACATGACTGAACACAATTAACATTCTGTGCTGAAAACGCATTTGTTGCTCCAAGTAACGTAGAAATCCAAGGATACAGTAGAGACTCCAGCTTCACCCAATGGCTGGAAACACATCTAGAGCATTACAGAGAGTTTGAGGAAGATAAATAGTTTAAACAGTGAGTCATCTCTGTTTAATGGCAAAAAAATGTTTAAGAGAAATGGGCTCTTTTGACAGATTTTATGTTTTTAACCCATTGAGTTGCCAGGTAGTGAAATGTGTGCATTTTATTTTTGTCAGAATATCTATCATAAATCCACTACTTTGTTAGATAAAACCGTGATTTCTTCAATACACAAGGCGGTGGGGAAAAATATGCCTAAAACAATATATTAATGTCAACGACCTCATAGGAGCTACGGCCACCATTGCCTGGACCATCGGTCATGAAAATATGGCTCTAATCTAGATGGTCCAATGACATTTAGACCTGCTGGCTAGAAGGCTATGGCTCCTGCCATTATGGAGTCCATAAAAACATTCCCACCCTGGTTATAGTATTGGAATGTGGACCAGTTTTAACAAAGTACTGTGCAGTTGAGTGGTTTTCTTGGAGCTATTAAAACTGATGAAAATTGGGAGGAAGATGACGCTAAAGTTATACTTTTTACATCACTCAGGGTGGCCATATTGGTACAAGTCGTTTCTAAATGGCATTTCAGCCATTTTTAGTTCCAACAAAATATATAGAATATCGCAAAAGATTGTCAAGGAATTCTGCCTCTTAGACATCAGGGCCAAGTATGGAGTTATCAAGTAATGTATTGAGAGGTAATTGCAGGTAGCAATCATCAAGCTTCCAAACCAGAAAACCGTCTCCAAAATTATCACAGAACCCAGAGGTGCGTTTGACAGAGAGTGAAATAAACAGGACAAAGAATTTTGATTCAAAACTGCAGAATATTTTCAATTTAAATGAACAAAAGCTAAAGGGCAAAAAAATAAATAAATTACAAAACAGCTTAGTGAAATATCATATAGAACGATTAGAAGTTCACATGCCATAAAACCTCATTAGAAAACTAGAAACCTAAAGTCCATCTTTGCACGAGTTCTGGCAAGCATTATTCAACATTAAAGACCAATACAGGTCAGAGCTACAGGAGGCTCCACCACATGATTAGGAAGTAGAGGAGTAGATTGGGAACAAAAGTGGGCCCGTCAAAGTCACAAACAGATCTGGGAAAGTAAAAAAAAAATAAAATAAACAAAATTAAAAAAAAACACAACCCACTACGAGACCAGCCGGCAACCCCCACAAGCAAACTTTTATGTAGTATAGGAATTCGATGAGGACCAAACATGGTCTGTGGGCGCGTTCCATCCCTTCCAACGTGCTTTCCTCATTTCTTTGGCAATACAGATTACTCATGCAAAAGATAGGCAGTCAGTTTTAGGGGCGCTCACCTTAATATATAATTTTTTTGCATTGATTGTGACCCCCTGTACTTACAATTTGAGCACCAAACAAGAGAGACATCTAAATAGGTTGTCATTTGAAAAAGTATATACTTGGGAGAATTATAATTTTTTTCCCTTTTGCAACTGCTTACATGCAATTCATTATAACTTGGTACACATCCCACCATGACATATTCATCACTTCATCGTAGGACGTTGGCTGTACTTGCTGATACTTCGTTTTGTGCCAATGCAATCATCATTTTGATGGAATACAGTTTCGAAATCAGCTATCAAAGAGGTTTTTCAACGAAGCCAGACAGCCTTATATTTGTAGGGTTTATAGATATCCCTACATACACAGATGTAACAAACTGATAATGAACAAAGACTTTTAAATTAACCTAGATTAACTAACTCCTACATAACAAATTTTTAAACTGTGTACGCCATTAAGTAGTAGGTGCCTAAAAAGTTACATTATCAAAACACTAAGTAAATATTCACTGCATTTTTTATTTATTTCATAATTCTATTTTTTTTTAAAAAAAAATTTTTTTACTTCTGGACTTTACAACAGCTGTTTTTGATCTCAGTCTTTATGATGCGCTGACCTTTGCATACTGCCTCCGGTGTAGAACACGCCAGTCTCGCCAGATTAAAGCTACCCATCTAGTTGTGTTTCCTTCAGATCCCAGCATCCTTAGTCTGTCTCTTGCCAGGAATTTTCTATGTAATGCATACAAATCAGCTGATTTATCGACTGGGTTACCTTACATAGTACTGAATTCCTAAATATCAGTTTCCATTTACACCTTTGGACAGAGCCATCAGCAAAGAAATATTTTGTCGTTAGCTTTAGTTCAATGTACAGGTTCAATATAATAATTATGACTGTGCAAACGTTTCTTTTCTAACCCAGAAATTTACGTGTACAGGAGTCAAAGAGGCTCCATTCCAATGACCTCAATATTTATCACCCCCACAGCAGAAAGGGCACATGCAGCTCAGAAGGCAAACCATTGCCTGGTCTCATTAACAACATATTTTTTAATACTCCCAATCATGTAATAATTTCCTTTGACACTTGTAATAACATTCCAAACAAAATCTCATGGCGCACGCAAACGTTTTTGACAGCAGTGGCAGCTGATGAAGTTTAAAGATGATGAGGCGCTAGGCTCCACTCCAGAAATTGGGCGATATGTCTTGATTTGTTGGGATCTACCTGCTAATCCCAAGACCCAGTGAGACATCACATCCTTTTCAACAATATAAACCTATAGTTTTCATTTGGGAACCGCCAAACTCTTTAAAGAGGTGCCAATCAGGCTGGTCTTTTGGGTCATCCTGGATCTGGTGTCTCAATGCAAAGCTAGTAAGTGACATCAGAAATTCTGTTTGAGCAGACTTTGCATGTATGAATGGTTTTACCAAGAACACGGATTGCTTTTACAAAAATGCCTTAACCCCTTAAGGACCAATCTTCTGGAATAAAATGGAATCACATGTCATGTGTCCTTAAGGGGTTAAAAAATAATATGATTAGTTTCTTAGCCTGTCAATAGTTTGGGAGGTGGGGTTCTAACACACACTTAGCAATAGTCCTTAGCATGCAAATAGATTTGATTTGTAAAAATTTTTTCTTAGCAATGAAATAATTGGGGGTTGCTGCCCGACCGCCCCTAGTACAATTCAGACACCATTGCTTGAGGGAAACTTCCTTTGGATTATGATTATAGGAACATTCACAATTTCAAGACACAAAGCATTCGGCTTATTGCTTAATTCAGTTTTTTCTCATTAACATTTTAATCACCGATAAACCACAGATAAATTCAGAAAATCTAACTTACAAGGAACAATACATGATTGAGCATTGTGTCAAGTCAGTAGTCCCTCATCACATATATAATAGAAGTATTATTGCTTTTGTTGTAAGAACAAATATCCGTGGATAAAAATAATGTGTTATGTCATCATATTACCAGGCTGTGCGGAGAGAAGATAATATCATCACACCGCCTACACCACTTTATTTCTCACCAAAGACATCTGTCTGCACAGATTTTCATTGGTTTCTAGGCAGACACCTATACATGTACTACAGCAATTGCTCACGTCTCTATTAATGTCTCCACCGGTGGAAAACCTGCAGTCATACGCCTGATGTAGGCTATTAATCACCTCGCAATCTCTGTTCTACACAGTCTTCAGAAACGCTCCAGATAACACTTAAGGGCATATAAGCATTTGCCTCTAGCCAATTTCACTGTACCTGCCAGCAAGTACATCAAATCTTAAAAATTTATCAGGTTTGCACGTGACCTGCTCCAAAAAAGGTTATCCACAAAAGTGAGAATTCAAAGTGAAATTCATTCAAGTTCATTTCAAATTTAAGGTCAAACTTACCGCACTAGAAACATTCTCTAAGTCAGTTATGCTTTCAGATTGGCTACTCTTCACTTAGATTTTACATTTGCTTTGAATTCACAGATTAGTAGATTTACACTTTTGGGGTTTGTGAGTTCATCAAAATAATATCCTCTTCTGTCTAGAATTCAGTAGGAAACTTGATTGTGAGGATCCAACACAGACACATGGAATCTTCAAGGTTATGAACTCACCAAAGTTCTCTCCTCCCCAAATGTCCATCTGAGTGTCATATTTCCCAAGTTGGTTGAACCAGGATTTGTCGATGACAAAAATCCCCCCAGCAATGACAGGAGTCCTAGAAAAATGTAAGAGGGCGTTAAGCCTCTGCACTAGATTTTTAGTTAATCTAATAATAGGAGACACAATTCAAAAGTTTGCCCAGAATGCAATTTTCAAATCCCAAATGCCATCAATAAGAAAAAAAAAGGCATATTAAAGTTCTCAAAGGAGAGGCATGCGCAGAACTGACATATACTGAAGTTAATGACTTAACAGTTCGATGCTGCCCCCATGACTTTTCTGACAAATCGAAAATAAAAAAGCAAAAGCACGGTGCGCAATGACAAGATCATGAGCTGTTTGATTTGATTATATTGCAATGAGAATGTTGATAAAATAATAATAATCCTGATCTACAAATATTGATTTAATAAATCTCATCCCATCATGTTTCACGCATTATGCATTTTCCACTTTGAAGCAAAAAGGTATGGTAGAGAAAGGATGCAGACAGTGTAGCCGTGCCTGTGTAATTGGAGGGCTATACCTTATAGAAGAAGTTGGATCAGTGCGAGACATCTTCTGTTCAATGGGGATTTGTTCCCACTTGAAATGGAGGCTCCAGTCAAATCCTAAGCAAAAAGCACAAGGGATTCTAAGAGAGGAAACGTTACCTTGAACACAATGAAACGTGAGAAATAAAAAGTAATGACTTCAAGTATTTGCACAGTATTCCACAAAACTATTTCCCCGTAACTCACCACCCCGGAGATCTGCAGATGCGGCCAGGTAAGCAAAGTTGTCTAGGCTGATTACGTCGATGATGGGACTCACAACCCTAGTGTGATCCTAGAAATAGTAAAGGAGAAGACTGACCCACTTGACAACCCACCCCACTAGTCTGACACAGGTCAAATAATTAAATAAAATAAAAATACATGCATTTCTAAACGGCACATCTCACAGAAAGCACACCATTAATGTTGACCAAAAAAGACAGTAGAGGACCATGGTGAAGAAGTGAACTCCCACCCAACCACGCTGTTGAACAGTAACTTAAAAACACATGCACGCTGAATGGCACACTTCACATACAACACAGCCACAGCAGACACACCACTGAGAACCTCACTCACCTCCTTCACTCGCTGGAGTAGAGGTTGAAGCCACTCATTATTGACCTCGCAGTGGCTGTCTAAAAAGGTGAGGATCGGAGCAGTGGCAACATCTGCTCCTCGAACTCTTGACCGGATCAGTCCTAAAGATAAGAAGAAAAAAAGAAAAAGGAAATCATTGTTATGTAGCATACAAAAAGCTTTTGGTAAACAATATATAAATAGTGATCTCCCGAACAGTTCGCCGAACGGTTCGCCGCGGACGGCGAACATGTGCGTTGTTCAGTCCGCCCCCTATGTCATCATTGAGTAAACTTTGACCCTGTACCTCACAGTCAGCAGACACATTCCAGCCAATCAGCAGCAGACCCTCCCACCTCCTGGACAGCATCCATTTTACATTCATTGTGAAGCTGCATTCTTAGTGAGCTGTCCAGGAGGTGGGAGGGTCTGGGAGGGAGGGTCTGCTGCTGATTGGCTGGAATGTGTCTGCTGACTGTGAGGTACAGGGTCAAAGTTTACTCAATGATGACGAATAGGTGGCGGACCGAACAGCGCATATGTTCGCCGTCCGCGGCGAACCGTTTGGGACATCACTATATATTAATACTAACGAACAATACATGTGATACTCCATATTGATACCTGTGCCTTATATTTCTCCAATAAAATGTATGTTTATAAAAAAATAAAAAATAAATAAAAATAAAATACAGTGCAACACTAAAAGACGCTTTCAATGCAGTGACGTTAAAAGCGTATTATGTGCTGTGAATTTCACATACAGTTACTATGTACCTCCGTGCACACCGCTGGGGTTACTGACATAACATAGAACACTTCCACAAAGAAAAAAAAGTATTGTTAAACCTCCCAATGGCAATTCAAATTATTTTAATGAGTTCAAGGACTCCACATCAATACAGAGAATTCCAACACTGCACAGACAGCTTAGGGGATCCTTACATTGAACATTCCTCTGCATGTCCCACAGGAAACATTCCTGCATATCAGACACTGAGGAATTTCACAGAGTACACACAGTGTACTTTGCATATTGAAAATCCCAGGCTGGCAAACTAAGGGTGACAGTCACCACCGGGCCCTGAAATTCAATGGTCCAGAAACACACTGCACTCCCTGCCGGTGTTCATCGTCCATGCATATTTAGATCACACCTCCATATCTTCAGTAAACCGCTTTTGCAACCACCTTCAGAGGAATGTTTAATCAGCTGTTTTCATACTTTTGCCTGATGTGGATCTCCTACCTGTGCACTGCTTGGAGGGAAGGGGGCTTCTTATCAGTGCACCAAGTCATACAGTATCCTTCTTACCTTCCCACGCACCATACATGGTCCTTCTTATCTGCTTGCACCATACAGGGGCCTTCCTACCTACCCACACCACACAGGGGCCTTCCGACCTGCCCACAATATAGAGGGTCCTCCCCACCTGCCACACCAAAGAAGGGCATCCTGACCTGCCCACACCAAAGAGAGGCCTTCCTACCTGCCCACACCAGAGAGGGGCCTTCCTACCTTCCCACACCATAGAGGGGCCCTCCTACCTGTCTACACCATAGAAGGGCCTCCTACCTGCCCACACCAGAGAGGGGCCTTCCTACACCATAGAGGGGCCTCCTACCTGCCCACACCATAGAGGGGCCCTCCTACCTGTCTACACCATAGAGGGGCCTCCTACCTTCCCACACCATAGAGGGGCCCTCCTACCTTCCCACACCATAGAGGGGCCCTCCTACCTGTCTACACCATAGAAGGGCCTCCTACCTGCCCACACCAGAGAGGGGCCTTCCTACCTTCCCACACCATAGAGGGGCCCTCCTACCTGTCTACACCATAGAAGGGCCTCCTACCTGCCCACACCAGAGAGGGGCCTTCCTACACCATAGAGGGGCCCTCCTATCTGCCCACAGCATACATGGGCCTCCCTACCTGCCCACGACATACAGGGGCCTCCCTACTTGCCCACAAACAGGAGACTCTCTTCCTACATGTCTGCTCCATACAGAGCCTTCCTACCTGCACACGCCATGTAGTGGACTTCTGATCTGAATCCTACTTGTACACAACATATGTGCACAAATCCTAAAATGCATTTCTTAGTGTGCTTAGAGAATAGCCTGTTTCAATCTGGTACATGCAACGCATGCAAGACACAATACACAGATGTATGCACACTGCGTACTTGCCAAAAATCTAGTATTCTAAAGTTTACTCTGTGGTTTTGGCTTCTAGTTCTGTATCCAGCTGTCTTGGCATTTAACCATGATACAGTAAAAACTTTGTATAAATTTGCCAATGCATATCCTTATTTGGATACACTATTAGCAAAATCTTGTAAAGGCTAAAACAATTGTGATTTTGGTGCAGATTTAGTATTAAGACAGTTCGATTTAGCTTTTAAAGCAACATTCAAAATATATAATTAAAAAGTGTCTTCTCTATGTCTTTCGGTTTATCTAAAGATGTTACCGAGTTCCAATAGGGACTTACTGAATGCAATTCGTGTGCCACGTTATGTACATGTAAGCTCATACTAGATTTCTGTACGTATGCCTGAGCTAGCATGTTGAGCACGCTTGAGGCATCACAGCGCAGTGAGGCTGCCCTAAACCTGAAAGTGCAGCAAAGGTAAGTATTTTATTTCCACTTATATCTGCTACACTAGTCATCCCTATAGCCACTTTAGAAGCAGTTACTGTGTTGCAGGAATGAGGAACGGTCTTCTTCCAGATCCACTTTAATGGCATCTACAGTTCCTGAACAATTTTGATTCAGAAATTTGAGTACCGGGTTCATTAAATCACTTCAATTGCAATTTACCACTAAGAAGGTTTGTGATGAGTTATTAAGGAGTATCTTCCAATCACCATACAGAATGTGCAGCCTTGCATATTGGGGTACCCAATCCCATAATCCTCACTCATTCTGTTCACATAGCGGAGGATGTTTTACATTTAGCCTGATGGACAGTGGGATGGAGAGCTCTGGTCTGCCAAGGACAACACAAGGTAGGTGCACAGTAAGGAGGACTTACCTTCTCTTCTACTATTTCTCATGCATTTCACCTTTGGGATTTTCGTGAGGAGTTGGCAATCATCCGCTATGAAAAAAAAAAAAAAAAGGAGATAGGCAAGACACAAATAATTGGCACATTGCAATTGTGATTCATCGCGTAGCAAGAGCTCCCAAGTGTGTTTCCAAATCAAGGCTCTGCTTTCACTTATTATCATATTAATCAGACTGACAGCACTAATCCTTTCAACTAAAGTGTATCCAAACTCATGTGATCACACACAGCCTCACTGCACGTCACATCGGTAGTATCAATGCTGAACTCATATTACATTTCAGCTATACCAAAGTGAGACTTTGCTACAGAGCATCTCTGGCTAAAAGAGGAGAAGACTTTATTTATTGCAAAATAGAATTAAAAAAAAATAATAATGTGTTTTTGCAATTACAGGATACTTTAACTTTATTCAATATGTAAAACTTAAATTTGCTCATTAGGATTATTATTTTTTATTTTTTTTGGCAATAATAAATAGGGTTTAGATAAATCAAATATACCCACTATTCGTGTTTCTAGAAGTAGACGGGGTGTGCAAATTTGAATTTAAGAAGCTATATCACTGCTGGTAGCTGTACATATTTTTCTACCTATTTCAAATATCCAGAAATATTTGAATTCATATACACACACACAAAGCTATATACATAAAATATATTTCTAATAGGTCCCCAGATCTTCTTAAAGGACCACTATAGTGCCAGGAAAACATACTTGTTTTCCTGGCACTATAGTGCCCTGAGGGTGCCCCCACCCTCAGGGACCCCCTCCCGCCCGGCTCTGGAAGGGGAAAAGGGGTAAAAACTTACCTTTTTCCAGCGCTGGGCGGAGAGCTCTCCTCCTCCTCTCCGCCTCCGTTACGCCCCGCCGGCTGAATGCGCACGCGCGGCAAGAGCTGCGCGCGCATTCAGCCGGTCTCATAGGAAAGCATTTACAATGCTTTCCTATGGACGCTTGCGTGCTCTTACTGTGAAAATCACAGTGAGAAGCACGCAAGCGCCTCTAGTGGCTGTCAATGAGACAGCCACTAGAGGATTAGGGGGAAGGCTTAACCCATTCATAAACATAGCGGTTTCTCTGAAACTGCTATGTTTATGAAAAAATGGGTTAACCCTAGCTGGACCTGGCACCCAGACCACTTCATTAAGCTGAAGTGGTCTGGGTGCCTAGAGTGGTCCTTTAACAAAAGCTTAATTCAAGGTATACTGGGATGAGGTCATGAAACAACATAAAATGTAAGCAAAAATTTCAAAACCGAAGTAATAGCTAAATTATAGGTTGCTTGCAAAAGAAATCTCATAAAAATCAGCAAATACATTTACATTTTTAGTTTTGGCTATCGTTTCTAGACTGCCTAGTTTGACCTAAAATCCAAATTCTATTGTCAATTATCTACAATTACCAATGTATTGAATAAATCTTATGGTTTAGTAGACAACATGAGATTGTTATCTACTAAGGCAATATTAAGAGACTACATTAATTCCGGTTTTACTTATCATAGCATCTAGCATTGCAACACACCTCACTATGGGGGTGGATTACCAAGACACACTGGTTGCTAATGTTAATTGGTTTACAAGGTGATTACACTTTATTTACTTCTTTGTCCTAAAACAGCACATTTTGCCTTGACAAATCTCTCTCCACCACTGCACATAGCTTCCTTATCATAATTCACTCCTTCAAGAACCAGTAACTATGTTGTCTTATCAATCTGTTCTTTGAAAATTCTATTCTAAAATGGAATGTTCTACTTAATTAAAGACGGCATGAATTCATGGAAATGCCAGAGCTACATAAACAGAGCATTCCTTACTCTAAAAAGATCAGGTTAGAATTAAACAGTTTATTCGCTGAAGTGAGAATTCCAAGTGAATTTCAAATTAAGGGCCAAAGTAGTCAAAATGGGGACATTTTCGAAGTCAGTTATGATTCCAGTGTAGCCACTTGAGCAATCTTATTTTAGAGAATGGCCCTGATGGTCTTTAAGGGGTTAAACGGCATCTGTGATTTGTACGATTGTCTGATTTTATTATCTATTTCTTCAGTAGAAGCGACAGCAAAAACAACCACAATAACAAACAAACACACACATCAGAGCTGAAGGAGTTCTACAAACCTGTTTTTTCTCCCCTAACTTGGTTTGTTGTCCTGCATTTTTTAACTTATCGGTTTAAAATTTGCCATGATTCACGGTTTAGTATTCATCGGATGGGCCCCTTAGATGGACAGCTTTGTGCATGGTAACCATGTAAAGGTTCTGTCTGCTATATTATTTGTATAGGAAACTCAAACACATCACAGACCCCATCTGTTGTACTGAGTAACATGACTCCTCTGTAGTCACATTGTAGAATATGCTAGCTCTTCTATTCCCACGGGACTACGCAACCTGTTCTGCGTTGGTGATTAAATCGGAGATGTAAAAACAGAAAGTACTCACGATCTGTGCTGAAGTCATCCACCAGAATAATCTCCTGTATTAAACTTGCAGGACTTCGAATTAAAACACTGTCAGACAGAGAGAAAAGAAAGGACAATGCCCTCTTACAACAATACTTAAAACCTGAAGAGGTCTCTTGGATTTAAATGCCCCCCGCTCCCCTCCCGCTCCCGCCACTACAACTCATTTCACAATGGGAGATGAATTCGAGCAGACTTCCTCAAACTCCAGCCCTCCGGATGTTGCTAAACTACAACTCGCATGATTCTATGAATGAAGATGGTAGGCTGAGAATCATGGGAGTTGTAGTTCAGCAACATCTGGAAGGTCAGAGTTTGGGGAAGCCTGAATTAGAGGGACCCATTTCTAAACACCAGCTAAACAACTACAGTGCTTTTGGTGCCATGAGTCCCTTGGCCACTATAAGCAATCTTTCAATTTTTCTAATAGTTTGATACCTACCTGAGTCTTACAGTCATCTCCAGACGTGTCTCCTCTTCAGCACACTGCAGTGGTTATGGTTATGTCAAGCTGGCTCCCCCAACCTAAGTAGTCAAACTGTTTTTGAGCAGCTTGTCTCTGAGGTCTGCCCCGCGAAACTCCCCACCTCCACTACTAAACCCGGAGAGACGCAAGTTCATAAGTAGAAACTTTTATTAGTTCTCCTGAGTCAAGTCCTGCAGTGCAGGGCTCAGCCCATTGGTTTAAAGTGTCAGCTGATTGCGGTCAGTAAACAAGCTAACAGACGTCCATTCTTAGGAACTTCTGGTACTCTGGCATTAGCAGTGAAGGTTGACAGCACCTCCTGGTGGACCAGTTCAACTTCTTGTAATTGGAGGGGGTATGTGCCAGGGTACTCCTGGAACCATAGCCACTTTAGCAAACTGTAGGATTTATGGTGCTTGGAGTGTGCCTTTAAGCAGTGTAGGAGTTAAAAGAACTAACCTATTTTATTATATGAGGAGGATTTTTGCCATTTTGTAGACATTGTACATATGGGAATCTGGGATGTAACTCCTGCTGTGAATGTTTCGAAGTATAAATTCTATTTCAATGAATACTCCAACAATCCCAACACTGACTGTCCACCCTTTACTAGAACACAGAGTTCACCCACCTCTTTATAGTCCGTAGGAGGGTTGAGCGAGCCTCGTTGTGAAAGGTGATGATGACGCTGGTTGGAGGGAGGTCTGAATCATAATGTACAGAGGTACACCTAGTTATTGGGGGGGAAAAATGTGCAAAACCTGAGCCACAAAAGAGCGCTTTTAATACAAACGTTTTTAATAAATGATAGATTATGCAACACTGGAAATATCACAATGTTTCCACAAATAATTAATTGTTTTCATTCTCAGGTTCATAGTTTGAATGGAAACTTTTCTTTCTCGGGAATTTACACCTTTAAATAAAGTATTGAAAACAATGACATCGCAGTCCAGTATAGACAAGGTCAGCCAGAGCAAATATTTCGAATAAAACATGATTTAATATCTCCTCCTCTGTATGCTTTCTGTGTGCTGACTGCCAGGTGCAATGGATGAAGCTCATTACAATGATTGATAGGGAGCTAAGATGGAGGCGTCTCTCTATACTGACTGCCAGGTGTAAAGGGAGGAGCTTATTACAATGATTGACAGGGAGCTAAGATGGAGGTGGCTCTCTCTATACTGACTGCCAGGTGTAAAGGGCGGAGCTTATTACAATGGTTGATAGGGAGCTAAGATGGAGGCGTCTCTCTATACTGACTGCCAGGTGTAAAGGGCGGAGCTTATTACAATGGTTGATAGGGAGCTAAGATGGAGGCGTCTCTCTATACTGACTGCCAGGTGTAAAGGGCGGAGCTTATTACAATGATTGATAGGGAGCTAAGATGGAGGCGTCTCTCTATACTGACTGCCAGGTGTAAAGGGCGGAGCTTATTACAATGGTTGATAGGGAGATAAGATGGAGGCGTCTCTCTATACTGACTGCCAGGTGTAAAGGGCGGAGCTTATTACAATGATTGATAGGGAGCTAAGATGGAGGCGTCTCTCTATACTGACTGCCAGGTGTAAAGGGCGGAGCTTATTACAATGATTGATAGGGAGCTAAGATGGAGGCGTCTCTCTATACTGACTGCCAGGTGTAAAGGGCGGAGCTTATTACAATGATTGATAGGGAGCTAAGATGGAGGCGTCTCTCTATACTGACTGCCAGGTGTAAAGGGCGGAGCTTATTACAATGATTGATAGGGAGCTAAGATGGAGGCGTCTCTCTATACTGACTGCCAGGTGTAAAGGGCGGAGCTTATTACAATGATTGATAGGGAGCTAAGATGGAGGCGTCTCTCTATACTGACTGCCAGGTGTAAAGGGCGGAGCTTATTACAATGATTGATAGGGAGCTAAGATGGAGGCGTCTCTCTATACTGACTGCCAGGTGTAAAGGGCGGAGCTTATTACAATGATTGACAGGGAGCTAAGATGGAGGCGTCTCTCTATATTGACTGCCAGGTGTAAAGGGCGGAGCTTATTACAATGATTAATCGGGAGCTAAGATGGAGGCGTCTCTCTATACTGACTGCCAGGTGTAAAGGGCGGAGCTTATTACAATGGTTGATGGGGAGCTAAGATGGAGGTACCCAGTTGCAAAATAAATAGATGTGGGTTTCTACTTTTAAATGTATATGTCATGCCTTATGAATAAATATTTGTTAAATATAGGGACAAAACAGAATAATAAACAAAAAGAAATATAAAAAATACAGGGAAATGTCAGCTCCTCTTTCAAATCGCCTTCACATTTGTGCGAGTAGATTGACTTGATCTAGTAAAAACGTACACTTATCGAGAACATGTTGCAAATATTGTTGCCTTTGCTGAAGTTCTTACATTCACTACTTTTCGTGTGTTTTGTTCTTACTTAAATTAACACTGTCGTGTTAAAAAAACATGTTAGGCCCTTGGCCCCCCTTGCACCCCTTATACAGGTATAAAACTTTTCTCCAGCGCCGCATGGGCCTGCTAGCAATGGCCCAGCCCGGCTCCGCCTCATAATTGATGATCTCAATCAATACAATGCTTTCCCATAGGAAAACATTAGGAGGCTAATATGCATGTGCTGCAAAAAGCTGCAGTGCGTCAATCAGCATCTCCTCATAGAGATACATTGACTCACTGCATCTCTATCGGGAAAGTTCAGCACCTCCATGCAGAGGGCGGAGAGGCTAAACAGTGCAGCACTGACCCAGGAAGCTGTAGTGGCCATCTGAGTGACAGCCACTGCAGGTGTCCCTAGGTAGTAATGTAAATTTTTCTCTTAAAAGGCAGTGTTTACATAAAAATACCTGCAGGCACTGCTTAAACTTTCTCACCAGAGCAACCACATTAAGCTGTAGTTGTTCTGGTGACTATAGTGTCCCTTTAAACGAACACTGTGAAAACCATAACACCTTTCTCTCAGTTACGTTGATATGAAGCCTGGGGTTCCTTGGTGTGGTCTTACCATACTTTCAGAAACAATTTAACCCCTTAAAATGAGACTTTGCCCAGGACCTCTAGGGAACGAGATGAAGTTGATATGGTACCCATGGTGCTCATTTAAGAGAGGTTACCAGTATTTGAAAGCAAATACAGTATTGAAGTTGGACTTTGATACAATAACTCGACAACTTTGGAGGATCGCCAAATATCCAAAGTCTATAGACACGTGGAACTTTAAAATGTTGGACCTTAATCGGTCATGTAAAATATACATGAGCAGCCTAACAGTTCCTCTATGTGTCTGAATGTGTCTATGTGTCTGCATTGCAGTGTGTACGGTTATAAATCATTCATTGTCTATTTACCCTCTGAATGGTACATATATGGAAGGTGGCTTTTTGCATACCGGTAATGTCTTGTGTCTCGAATAGGTCTGTCACTGCTCAGCTTGTCACTCTCCAGCTGATTGAAGGCATGTTGATGGTACGGATCCTCTCCTTGCTTAATATATTTGGAGGAGAGGTAAGATTTTTCATCAAATCCATGCAACTTTCCTTTTTCCGTTTGGAATGTTGACATCACCTGGAAAAAGAATGGTTATATGATATTTAGACAGGCGCCACCATGCTCTCTGCAAATCTGCACAGTTCAGTCAAGTATGCACCAATTATTTTTGGCAATGTTACAAAGAAAAAAAAAAAAAAGATAAAAAGTGGAAGATCTTTCAATCAAAAAGTTTTTAAATGAATATCATTATAAATGTTGGCTTTAAACTAGTTAGGTGCACATCAGTTTCTCTTAAAAATAAATCTGAACGTTTTAACCAAATATCTCAACATTTGTGGTGTCTTCAGCTTTCATTACAACATATGCAAATGAATCGGTGGTTTCTTATGCACAGTTAGCTAAAACATTGTGATCAGCAGGTCACCCATCTTTACGCTGTTAGGTGAAGAAGAACCAATTGCTATTCGTGCAAATAAAAAAATAAAATCCTATCAGAAAAAAATACAATAGAATTAAAGTTGTTATATTTATTTATCAGTGCATTGTAATGCAATGATGGCAAACCTATGGCACACATGCCACCAAGGACACTTGGGCATGTAAGGTGACACACTGGTTTCACAAATCACTGGGTATTCTAGAGGAAGCCAATGAAGTATCTTGTAACTTAAACCATGACAGATAAACCCAGGGACCTGCTTCAGCCATTGTGGACACCAGTGGGCAGGTAGGACAATCCATGATTTGGCAAGATAACTTTATTGTCAGCAAGCATAAGATAGTGGGGGGTTAATGTGGAAAGGGAACACTATGTCAGTAAGAATGAAATGGAATGGAAGAGGGTAAATATATATGTGTTGAGTTCCGTTACAGAAGGGACACTGATAGAGACAGAAAGGTGATTTAAAGGGAGAGGACTATTGAGAAGGATAATGTGACAGATATCAGAGGGAATTGGAGGGCAGCTGATATTTGGATGGCAACCAAGAGATAGAAATTAGACCGAAACAGAGAGAGATTGGGGTCTAATGGGTTTGTATAGAATGGGGGAGCAATTACAAAGAGGGTGATTGTGTGCAACTAAGGGGTTGTTAGAGTGGGCTGACCTGGATTAGAATCCTGAGTGGGGTCGTAAGAAGTCCCTGGTCGGATTTTGCCACCTTTTCATTGTTAGCCCCGAGCCCATTTGAATATTGAGAGAGAAACACCCCCAGTAAAAATAATTGGTGACAGTGCTGCTGCCATTTTTTTCACCATATTTGGCGTTAATTACACAGCACAGTGTGGGGATACTGCTGTGGGTGCAAATCTATTGACAAGAGTGAGAGGGAAGGAAGGCAAAAAAATGGAAATTGGAATAACGCATGTGGGCAAAACAAATTGATAAATCGGAATATTTAAAGTAAAAGCCAAAATGGAGGAGAGAGAGGGGGAAACAATGAAAAAAAGTGAAATGAAACTGGGGTTTTGGCAGTTGTAGACCTCTTATTAGGTTTCTGTAGACAAGAGGCAATCAGGATCTAAAACCATCAGCATTAATGTTTTAAACTGTGTATCTATGATTTATTTATTACACTAATAGCACATGCAGGAGAGCAGGGAGTTAATTACAAGGTTACATCGGATAAAATGGATAAAGGAGACAGAAAGTTTGCAAATCCGCAGTCTGTTGATAAGAGCGTAATGGACGAACAAGCTCAAAATAACTTTCTGTCTAGAGAGGTAATGAGAGTTGGACACAGTTGGAGATAATGTAGCAAGCTGGTGCTTTAGGCTAGAATTTAAACCTGCTCTCTGCTCACATAATTTGTCCATTCTATTCTACGTAACACAAATTGATTTATGGCTGCAGGGTCGAATCAAAGGTTTTATGCCCATCTTCTAGGTGACAGATCCGTTACCTGCTGGAGTACAGAACATGTGCCCATTAATGAGTAATATGGAGATATACTGTAGACTTCTAATAGAAAAATGTATTCAGAAAAATGATTGGCAAAGAATATTCCTGCTTCTCTAACCTGGGTAAACAGTGCTTTAGGATTTAACTGCTTGTCCCAATTCAGAAAAATGAAAATTTTAATAGTAATCAGCACTTTTACGAATAAATTAATTTATTAAAATGTATTTTATTAACCCCTTAAGGACGGATGCAGTTATACAAGTTTAGATCAAAACAAAACAAAACGTAAACAAAACCTGGAATTTGCGCTACATGTTAAACCATAATACCTGTTTCACATCAAATGCACCCACACTTATTACATATAATTTTGTTCAGGAGAAACAGGGCTTTCATTTCACATCAAATATTTATATATTAAACATAATTTAATAGGAAAAAAATATATAAAATATTTGAGAAAGTAAGAAAGTTTTTTTTAATTTTTTTAATTCTTTGTGGCATTTTAACTGTGATTGTCACAATACTGTTAGCTGTTACTGCAATAGAATACACATTTGCATTCAGCAATGTCCCCCGAATACAAAGTACCCCTTGCCTCGCCCCCCATATATTTAAATTTTTCATTTTTTTCACATTGAAATTTGCCCCACCCTGGTCATGTTGCCTTTGAGACCGTATGGTAGCCCAGGAATGAACATTACCCCCATGATAGCATTTTGCACCATTTGCAAAAGTAGACAACCCAAGGTATTACAAATGGGGTATGTCCAGTCTTTTTTAGTAGCCACTTAGTCACAAATACTGGCCAAAGTTAGCGTTCATATTTGTTTGTGTGTGAAAAACGCCGAAAACAAATTAAACACACTTACAAAATCAATGTTACAAACATTTGAACACTGATGCTCTTAGGCACACCCTCACATACACACCCTGACAAAGCAGGCACACTCACAGAAACAGCCAGACACCAACAGAAACAGTCACACACTAAAAGACGCAAACAGACACACTCATAGAAACAGTAAGACACTAAAAGACACAGACAGTAACAGAAACACTTAGACAGTCAAACACCAAAAACACTCATAGAAATAGTCACTAACAGACACAGACACTCACAGAGACAGTCACAAACACATTTGCACATATGGTCTGCTTGAATATTACATTAAACTGACATTAATAAATGTATTTACAATCTGGTTTAAAACTTAATTATGACGCAATGGAAATGCTTTGAGATTTCAACAGATGCCAGTTTAATACACTTGCAAAATATAACTTTTAGAAGGTTTTTTTTTTTTTTGGTGAAATGTCACAAATTGAGTAATTAAAGCACTGACTCTCCTTTCTCTTCTAGCCAAATATTTTCTTAGTTAAATCATTTTGGGTTGAGCAGATGTTCCTCTGAGAGGCAGGGCACTGTGCAGCTGTGATGAACTGCTCACTGATTGCATTAACTATAGAATGTCTGAATCACTAAGCATTAGAAGGCATCTTGACAGTAAAGAGAATGTTGCATTTCGCAAACTGTATACCTCCCAAGTGTCCATAGTTAGGACGAACAGTCCCTCCTAAACCAGTCTGTGTAAATAAAATACATTGTTCTGTTCTAAATTATATTTTAGTTACAAAAAAAATATTTGTAAGTCACCTAATATTTTTCATACCCACTCACACCCCTAAAATTAAAATGTCTCTCGTGGTTTATCTGAAATGTTGGAAAGTATGAATTGGTTTTCTTTGCAAGCATTATTCAGTAATTAGATCAGGGATTGGGTGTGCTGTTTCACTGCACAGTTTGCATGGTTGGAGCCAGAACTAGGGCTGTATCTTCTGCAAGGCTGACAAGGCATTTGCCTTGAGCAGCACTTTAAGGGGGGCGACAAAAAACGCCGCCCCTCATGCACCCTGGAAGATGCCTGGCCATGGGGGGAGGGGGACAAAGAGCGGCCTCCTGGTCCGCTTGGGGGCCCCCTTGAGGCGGGTAGCTGCCAATATTACGGGCGAGTGGCGAGGGAGAGCTGTCCTCTGAGCTCTTACTGCATAGCCCTCTCGCGCAACCCACAGTGATGACGGGAGCCGGAATATGACAATTCCTGCTCCCGGCATCACTAAGCGGCACATGAGGGGGCTGAGCAGGAAGATCACAGCTCCATCGCTGCCAACATTGACAAGATGCCTGCCTGCCCACTGCGGAGCACAGGAGCCTGCACAGCCAGTCATACAGCCCAGTACCTACCCTGGATCCCAGGGACATCAGCCCCTCTGGACCCCCAGGCAAAGAATCCACTCCAGCTCTCCCAAAGGTAGGGAGGCTGGGTGGATTTTAATTCTTAACAAATGAGCATGTGAGGCAATGTATGTGAGTGTGTCAGTATCAGGGTGTGTGTCATTAAATGTTTATGTCTATGTTATTGAGTGTGTGTGTATGTCTGAGTGTTTCTCAGTGTATGTCTGAGTATGTGTATGTCGGTGTATGTCTTTCTGTCAGTGAGTGTGCGTGTCTGTCAGTGATAATGCGTGTCTGTCAGTGAGTGCGTGTGTGTATATGTGCGTTTGTGTCTATAGGTGTATGTCTGTGAGTGAGTGTCTGTTAGTATGTGCATGTGTCTGTCAGTGAGTGCATGTGTGATTGTGTGTTTCAAATCAAACTGTTCAAATCAGTAAAAATGTGTGTATGTATGTATGTATATCTGAGAGGGTGTGCATGTCACTGAGTGGTTATATCGGTTTGTCTGTCAGTCAAAGTGTGTTTTGGCCCTAAACAGGAAGGAGTGGGGCACATTTAGATTAGAGGGGGTTCCCCGAATTTCGACATGCCTGGGGCAGCACAAATCTTAAATATAACACTGGCCAGAACACAAGGACATACATCACATATCACATTTTAATCCATATTTGGTTATACTGGAATTAAATGGGTTAAATTTATAACAGTTGTACTATAAGATTTAATTAAACATCTTTGCAAATTATATAATGATCATTAGGCAATGGCTAAAAAAACACACACAAAAATTCAAAAATATTACCTTCTTTCATGTTATACTTTATAAATGTACACAAGATACTGATACCTCCAACCCAATAAATAGATTAAAAAGGGACCAGTTTCACTTGTAAATTTTTTATTTTTTTTCTAATCCAATGGGAAAGCATTCTGATTGATAGGCTGAGATCATCAATTCTGATGAAGTCAGCCATGGAGGCGGATTTGGGGCGGACCAGCACCGGCACTGGAAAAAAAGGTGAGTTTGGTTATAATGACTTTAAATCTGACATTTTTTTTTTATTGAGGTATAGTTCATTAAAACACCCCTTATAGACTTTGCACCTATGAATATTCTACATTTATAATTACCTTTCCCCTTCCCTTTATTCTTAATTTTCAATTCCTGGTTGAAGTTCTTGTTCTGTCTTTGCTTTACACTTGTTTTAGAGCTACATTATCATTATTACACAGTTATTAAATTTTTATTATCCACAAAGAGATTTATAATAAAAAATGAATGCTTTGTTGTTTTAAGCACTCTCTAGAACTTGGGATTTAAAGATTAGGAAACCACAATTAATTTTTATTTCTAGTGAAAATGTACTTTTTTCAAAATTAAAATGATTACAGATCGTAAACATACTTTTGGCTCATCCATTCACTGTGGCAAGTAAAAACAACATGAATAAACATAGGATATATCCATCGACCTAGAAAGACGGACAACATTCGTATGCTAAGGGCATCTTCAAAGCAAAGAAATAAAATTGGTTCTGTTTGTTTCCAGGGTAATGTGTCACTGGACTTCACATGTGCTTACCATCATTTTTACAATTTTACCATGGTAGAAAGAGACTGCATAATTACCCACTGAAAAAAGGACATTCAAGAGACAAAAAATAAAATAAATAATAATAAAAAAAAAATTACAAAAATAAAAATGTACAAAAAATAATTTTCAACAACTTAGAAAATAAAAACCAATAGCAGTGACTGGATGCTAATTCAATATTCTAGTCAGCTACGTTGCCCCAGCAGCTTTCTATGAAAAGTAGTCAAATGTAACACTATCAAATTGACAACTGATGTCAATAGAATATTAAAGAGAAGGAGAATGTACCCGTTAATTCATATTTGGTATAAAAAGATAACCATTTCAATTCAGACACGACAAAAGAAATAAATACTCCCATTTTTGGGGGATAAATACATTATACATTTATGTATGAAACATGATGTATATATAATTAGAACATCAGATTTATTCCGTGCAAGAAACACACACTATATATGTTTATAAGATGTCAAAAACCTGCACTAGATGTTTTACACCCACGTGCTTCATTGTAGTTGAAAAAGAAAAACAATTAACTACCCGTTTGCTACGATTAGGAAAAACAACAGTAACCCCCTACTCAGACATGTACAGAATGTAAAAATAACTGCGCACAGAATAAACACACAAAGGAATCAGATAGGTATGTTTTCAGCCCTGACAGATTAATAGCTTGACGTGACTTTATAAATATTATTGCACGCCATCAGTGGCACCCTATTAAGATATATCTGTATATTATTATTATTATTATTATTTTATTATTTATATAGCTCCATCAGATTCTGTAGCCCTGTACAATGGGTGGACTAACAGAGATGTAAGTGTAACCAGACAAATGGACGTACAGGAACAGAGAGATTGAGGGCCCTGCTCAGTGAGCTTACATGCTAGATTTATATACACATGAATTGCTTACGGTGTGTCAACAAAAGATGTGAAAAATGAAATGGTAAAGAGCCACCAGATATGTAAGAATATAGATACAATGTCCCAAATCAGACACTCATACTGTTGCTAATCTATTAAAAAACATTCTTATTTATTGTTTTTATTAAAAAAAATATTCATTTTTATATTGACGCATACATCGAATTACGAAGGACTCCGTACACTGCATTTGTTCTGTTTACACGAACGTACTTCCTCAAGTTTTGGCGTGAGACCCACCAGAGCCAAGACACTTGGGAGGTAGACAACATGTTGGCATTTCTATATGGATCATGGCACTTTAAAGCAATCAATGGCCGCCGGCCGCATACAAGGAACAGGACAAGGTGACTGTGAATGCTTCTCAATAGGAATACATTCATCCTAATGGATTAAAAATCACACTAAGCCATGTACTTACAGAAGTGATGATAAACGCAGTAGACCTAACGTATGAGCCTAAATAATTTCAAGGTACGATACACTTTAATAACATTAAATTGCCTTGCGATCAATCTTCTGCACATCTCGATGTGTCAATAAAATGTTCCAAACTCAATAAAACAACAGATAATACATAAGTGGGCTATGTAAGTAAACACTTAAAGCAAAAGACTAAATCATACATCCACCACAGTTGCACACTTTATACAGGAGTATCACTCTAGAACTCTTTCAGGAAACTAAAAACGAAAGGCTCCATCATCTGGATGAATTTAGTGCCGTTTACGATGATGTACAAGTTGGCATAAAATCTTGACCTTCTGGTACAGAGTTGAAACTCCCAGGGACAATCAAGACAGGAGATGGAGCTGTCCCTTACACCAGCCAGATGTCAGGATTCCGTAATCTTGCCCAAGAATCAATTGGCAGATATCCCTGGTCTTATAGACTGGGAGAACATATATAATTATATATCATTAACATAAGGAGGTGGGTGGGAAAGGGATTAGTGTAAAACTCTTCTCACTGCACACATACTGTTCTTGTATACGAATTGTTGTGTGTAAAACATAATAGGATAAATGGATCCAGATCACTGGCTGGCAGTCCCAGAACACTAAAACTCCAGGACATTACAACTAATTAACTGTATCAGATGCACTGGAAACCCCAGAGAGAGAACTGCATTGTAAATACCAGACGGTGGATCAGCAAAAGACCAGTTTAGTACAATACATCCTCTACTCCAGGAAAAATTCTACAGACATACATAAAATATTCATGACTATTCTCTAGACATATACAACCATACTATACAGATTGCTGATCACTTTTACGGAGTTCTCTTCCCTCCTCCCCCTTTTTTAAATTTCAAATAACAACTTTGCAGAATAAATTCTGGATCTAGTCACAGAAAAAGACAGGCTCTGCCTAAAGCGTAGACAAATCAGAACAACAATGGCATTAAAAAGATGTCACCATTCCCGCCATATTGATCTGAGTAGATAACTCTAAATGTATATGACAAGCAGTGAAGGATTAATGCAGAACCCTAATACATAATATACCCACAGGACCAAAGTATATGGATACAAGTTGATCTAGCACGCAGACTGGATACCAGAATACGGGGAAGTCAAACGAAGCCAAAGTCAATAGCCAGACATAAACGCTCAGGAACACATTCTCGGACAACCACTAGGGAAACCACGACACAGCAATGAGAAAAAGCAAGAAAGAGTTTAAATATGTTTTCCTTTAAATCCGATTGGCCGTACCCGGCCAACGTGCGGGCACGTCCTTTGCGTGACGTCATATGCACATTTATGTTGTCAATACCACGGGTGGACGTGGGGCTACAAATTGGCATGAGACCGCAGCGGCCAGCGTTCTTCAGTATGTTGCAGGAGTCAGACACCATGGCACAGTGCTGCTGACCTGCCTCTCCACCAATGCCCGGAAGGTAGTTTCCCCAGAGATACGACAAGGTGAGGATGAACAAAGCCAAGTTAATAGTTTGGGCCCCTCTTCGTACAGGAGGTTGTGAATGAGACATGGTATCTTCATGGTTCTGGTACCCATGTTAAGTAACACTCTTTAGGAGTTAAAAGCATCTGCCTTGTTAAAAACACTCCTTGGATTAAGGGGTTCTGACAATTCGTTTACTAAAATGTGGAAAATTAAATTTAAATAAATAAATAAATAAAGCAAATATAATCATAATGTACAATTCAAAAGAAAACTCTAGACGTTCCTCTCAAGAGGGGAGAAACCTTCAGCTAGAATTAGATTAATATACAGACATGGTCTATGATTGCAATGAATACACCAATTAGAGGGAAGTCATTTAAATAAATAAAGAATACAATCATCAAGCACTGCATCTGTTATTAACTGTATTATATTTCCACATCATAGCAGTTCGGCATTAATACATTACAATAGCAAGCTTTATTGCTTCATTCATCTCTGGTTAGTTTTCCCATTTTCAATTGCTCATCAGTTTGTACCGATGCAGAATAATTATGGATTTTCAACATTTACAGACAGAGAATGAAAAGCCAATGTTAGTCTATGTATTTTATAATGAATAGGAAGAAATAGCAAAGACAAAATATATATATAAAAGGGGGGGAGAAAGAGAGTGTCAGTGAACAGGCAAACAGAGACAGACTAAGGAAGAGTGAGACAGAGAGAGAGAGGGCAAAATGTGCGAAGTAGAAAATGAGACACCCACACAATGACAGAGGTAATGGATACATGTGTTATAGAATAATAACAGGACAATGAGAGAAAGAGGACACATTCCATGAGAGACACACAAAGACAAATACAACAAAAAAGACAATGAACAAAAGAGGCAAACTAACAAGTCTAATAAGAACAAATCAGAAAACACAATGTGAGAGAAGACACACACACACACTCACAATAGCGCAGATAATTAATGACACAGACAGACAGTGAGCAGAAGAATGAAAAAGAAGCATGGGATAAAGGACGTGAAAAAGACAGGTCATAAAACGGGCAAGAGAAAAGAACACAAATACTGATATTGACAGTTCATTAGCAAGAATTAATTATAGAAGGAGCAAAACAGGGACAGAAAAAACACCACAACACAATAACAAAACACTATACATCACCAGGCATGGAGCAGTCCTACAGCACAACATTGCATACCATGAAATCAATATTGGGCTAATTTGTCCCAATAAAACAAGTGACAACATTATTATTTATGTAATATCCCCCCAAAGAATATTCGTAATAGAAAGGCTCTATCATTTGTAACAAGTGTAACGTGGAACCATTTGCTCTGTAGATTTTAGTTCTAAAAAGGATCATGACAGAGCCATGAATCCAAAATAGCCTGGAGGCTCCATGACCTTGTTTGATGATCTAGTGTGATGAAGGAGATAAACTACTTCTCCCTCACTGACTGGGCTGTAGTAATGAATAACTGCATAACAGACTGGACTTTTCATACAAATCTCCATTCATTACTTTGTAGGACTTCTTAAACTCTCCAAAAATGATGATAAAGTTACATTAAGCAGGAATGGATGAAGGACAAAAATTGACCCACCACCGGTCTCCTTGGTAGGTTCCACCATAAATATAACTGAAACTGTTGCACAGGCTATGATAATTTACACTGGACATAATATCAATATCATTGAGTAATTTTAGCCAGAAAAGGTACGTTAGGCTTGTCACCACATTTCAAGTTCATCCTGGGGTCTAGAAGGATTGAAGGCCAAGTCACGAGTCTTGCCAAGAATTGAACTGCAGATTTTGGGATACTGCAGATGGCTTTAATAACCACTGAATCAAAGTTTTAAAATATGGTATCATCTTCAACTTTCTTAGAATGAACGGATAGTTCTTAGGAAAGAAGCAGGTTCCAATAACCATGAAAACCTGAAACAGCTTTCCTTCCTATATTTACAAAAAGAAGAAAGATAGATTTGGTTAAAATTTCTACAATATTTAGAGAATTATTTGGAAAATGAAACATTTTAGAGATGACGTTATCCCTTTCTTGCAATATTTCAGAAAGGGGTAGTAGTATAGCATCGTGATTACCATAATGTCAAATTCAGTAGGATTGTCAAAATAGTTAAATAAAAATGGCTAAATACTCCGCTTGTGTGTCTTTGTAAGAAACCTCGTAGCAATTCAGGGAGTGTAGCTTCCTTCAAATGCTGTGGGAATATCCATGCACAATTACACTTTCACGCAATAGCTATACTTTAAAAAGGGAATTGCAGGATGTACTGGTTGTGTTAGAGTCACGAGAGAAGGTACCATTTACAGTTCCTCCGCAAAGATGCAGATAGACCAAAATAAGACTTTTTTTTCTCTGCTGGGTGAAAGCCTGATCTGGAACAAACGTCAATAGAGATTTATGGGCTACATTTAAATTTGCTTTTGGAATATACAAAAAAATAAAATAACATTCACCCATGTACGCAGTTTGTTGGGTACCAAGTTACTATTTAATGAGTCCCTTTTACTCCCGAAATGAAAGCAAAAATCCAATTAGCATGGTTTCAGGAAATGTGTCTGCCACAACACCTACCAATCTTAGCACCCAATATTCTCACTAAGAACCTTCCCAGTCTAAGGTGTGAAAACATCTGCTTAGAGAGATTTAAAGAAAATGTGATTAACTGAGTTTACCTTCTGTTTCACAGTCACTGGGGATGCAGTACTTCTCTCATGAAATAGCTAATGTACTTACAACAACACTGATAAACACATAAACAGTTGATCTGCAAAGCTTTCCTGAGAGCGGATTGACTAGAACAAGCCTTTTCAGAATATTATAGCTGCATACATCTAAAAGTAACTGTTTGACGCAAGATAAAATATATGCATTGTCTATGCTGCCGGTTTCCAAAGATGTTAGCTACCAATAGTCCAGATTCTATTCTCCAGTCTTAAAACCATAACCACTGAACACTGCTATAAATTGTTATGGTCCCAGAAGTCCCCTGGCACCATCCCACAGTAAGGAGTCTAACTGATATCGAAAGCACTTATGCAGGTCCCCTGGTTCTGGTATTTTAGGTCTTCTCAATAATGCTAAAGCCGAAGTTCCCATTCTGCTTTAGCCATATTAGTTATATCAGTTTTGTCCAACTTTTGAAATAATTTATTTACTGAAAATTAAGAAAAAAAAAAGACTAGTTATTCACGTCTCCAAGTTTTGACAACAACATTTGGGCCCTTCTGAGGACATAGAAAATAAATATCACTAAAGTCTTCTCTTTAAGACTGCCAGACGTTCTTTAGGTCACAACTAGTTACGTCCCTATTTCTAGCCGTTGTCCTTGTTTCCATAACAAATATCTATAAAGTGACAAAACTGGGTGACAAACTACGGTATACTTGCTTGCATATCACCCCCTTTTACCTCTGTTACGATCTTACGAATGGTCCTTGTTTAAAACCACAATTGATCCTACACTTTGTAAAAGCACTGACCATGGATCAAGCATATAAAGTTACATAAAAAATTCTTCATCTCAAATTCAGTTTAGGTGTCTTTGCATTTTCTTTTTGCTTAACACCCTTACACCCTCAAAGTGTCAGAACTGCTTCCACTGTGGCTGGGGGAAAAGAGGGGGAGGGAGATTAGATATAAGCTAGTATCTTCTTCATCCTGGCGATTAGCTCTTCATGCCTTTATCTACCAGGAGCTGCCTCAATATTAAACTCTTCTGTGTAGCACCTGATCGGAAACCGCAAACAGTGAAAACACATCATATTTTGCAACTATTATACATAAGACAAGATAGTCCCTACTTTGTTTTACGGCAGCCTTTCATTGTGTTGGCATTTTCATTGAAATTCCAATGCAGTTTCTATGAGGTTTTCATAAGCAAATAAAATAATTAGAGCCACAGAGAGCAAGTCAAATCCCATTATCATTACATTAACCCAAAGGAACGAGAGAAGTAAAAAAATTTTTTGAAGTCCATTGAAACGAGTAACAAGTTGGTTTGTTAGCATGTGAGGATCAGGTGGTACCGGTATACACCAAGGAATAATCGATGGCTGCAGGGTGTGAGAATCATACCTATATATTTAAAGATGTGACAGCTTGGCCGCTATTATCTGTACGAGTAGCCTCAAGCATGTTTTCTCATTATTAAGCTACTTGTGGCCGTGTGTACACACAATGCAAGACCGTGTATTCTGTTCTATCACAGAGTTACTCCAACCCTTTAATAAAAATGAATAAAACTCCCCTTTAGTTTACAGTGCCCAATGAGGTATTACTATTAGCCCCCAGCCTCCTCCCACACAGTTAAAACCTGTGAAAAGACGTTTTATTCTGACATCCAGCTCCGGCCAGGTAATGCTTCTGCTGCTGATTTTCCATGCCCCGTCCTGACGTCATTCCCTGCACTGGCTTCCCGTAAGATATAGGGCTCAATATAAAATTCTGGTTCTTGCTTTCAAATCCCTATATAATGCTACTCCCACCTATCTATCCTGCCTAATTCACAAATATGTCCCATTTAGGCCCCTACGCTTTGCTGAAGACCTGCGTCTATCCTCTGTCCGTACTCCCACCTCTGATGCTCGCCTTCAAGACTTCTCTAGGGCTGCACCGTTCCTGTGGAACTCGCTTCCCTCCTCCGTTAGATGCTCACCCAGTCTCCAAAAAATCATTAAAATAACTAACTTTTTCACAAAAGCATATCAATTAAACTGAATACTATTCTACCAATCTACTTCCCTAATACTTCTTTACCTTTTGTGTCACTATACCCCATTCCCTCTAGCATGTAAGCTCATTGACCAGGGTCCTCAACCCCTCTGTTCCTGTGTGTGCAACTTGTCTGGTTACAACTACATGTTTGTTCGTCCACCCACTGTAAAGCGCTAAGGAATTTTATGTCATTATATAAATATAATAATAATTCCGGCCCTACCACGGTCCAGTCACAGAGAAGCCTGCGATTGAATCGTTTCAGTGACTCATAGAGGAAGGCGATTGGGAGGGAGACCGGGAGGGCTATTTTTATTAGAATTTAAACTAGTACCCTATATAAGGAGCAAAGGGAGGTGAGAAGGAATGTACAGTGGGAGGGAGGGGAAAGAAATCTTCTCCTTGCAGTCACTGTGAAGATTTAACATCTGTTGCCAGCACATTTATGACAGATGTGAAATATGCACAGAATTGACATGAGGAAGGCCGGAGCAGAGTTCTGGGCTCCCTAAGTTGTGTGTGCTGGAGGTGCAACTAGTCCCCAGCGCACATTTCAAGTAATTCTGCATGTGCAGTATTACAAGCATAAACACTGCACATCTTGCCTTCTACCACCATGACCACTTCAAATCACAGAAGTGGTCATGGTGGTTGGAGTAGCCATTTGAGGAGAAGCTACAAATAGTATCTGAAGAAAAATATACCTATTCCATGCACCATAAGTACTGCAGCCTTCTGTAGTGTTTATGGTACCAGGTATGTCCTGGAGTCCTCCCATGTTTTAGTAAAGTTTGTCAACTTACCTGGGTCCTGCTGGGGACCTGAAAAGCCTGATTGATCTACAGAGCTGCTGGGCATGCAGAACCATGCTCACTGGCTGAGGGTGTCAGTTAAGTGCTCGTAGTCAGTGAGTGTAGTCCTGGATGAATGGAGACATTTGGTTTCTCCTGCAGGAGGTTACATAGTACTCGAGGCACAAATATATTTTGTCAAACCCATGCCCTAAGGGGCTGCTCTATGCCACCCACCCACCTCCTCCCCACCAGCTGTCACCGAGAGCTACCTCCCTCCCCCCTTGGAGTGTTCCTGCCCTGCAGGAGGGAGTTCTCTATGCCACCCCGCCACCTGTCACCCAGGGCTACCCCCCCTCCCCCTTACAGTGATCCTGCCATGTTGAAGGGTGTGCTCTATGCCACACTGTTGCCTGTCACCCAGGGCTAACCCCCTCCCCCCCTTACAGTGCCTCTGGCCTGAAGGACACAGGGTGTAATGGATAAGTTACTTGGAGTTTTCCTTAAAAAACAATGTTATTGCAGATTCGCTCTCAGTAACATAGTAAATTATATAAACCAACTCACGCTCACATAGGAGAGACCCAAACACATCCTCTTAGAACGACACAGGGAGCTACAGTAACAGTACACAAACCCATTCACAGTCACACAATAAAACTGAACAAATCCATTCACAGCCACACAGTACATCACACAAATCCATTCACAGCCAAACAGTAAAACTGCATCAATCCATTAACATCTGCACAGTAAATCACACAAATCCATTCACATCTACAAAGTGAAACTGCACAAATCCATTCACAGCTACACAGCAAAACATACAAAACTGTTCACAGACACATTGACAAAGCTCTACAAGTTAAACGATTAAAAAAAATAGCCAGGAAGATTAGGGGCCTAAATTTAATTCCACACAATTTCTGAGAGTATTGGATACGTCTTTAAATCACTTATCAAAAAATAGTAACACATACACACATATATATATATATATATATATATATATATATATTTTTTTTTTTTTTTAAATGAATCTACAGGTTTCTGCGTTACCAGCCTATCAGTAAAACACTTTACTTTGAATGAAGATTAACATATAATTGTATCAGCCCTCTTGAACAGAACATTCAGTTTAGGAGCATTTTTTAATAAACCCCTCAGTGAGTTTAATGAGTGCCACACGTTCTTTCATGTTCCCTTATGGAGAGGCACTTGAGAACCGAACCGGTAAGTGCCTTATTTTGCATTTACTTTCGTTTACAGCTTTTCCAGTCAATGTTTCCCCTGAATATACTCTCTAATAATGCCCTGCAGTGTATTGATCATGACCAGATCTATTTCTGTGCCCATCTTCCATGAATTATTGATTTCCTGACCTCCCATCCACGCGCTTGAATAAAAAGGGATATTAACGCAAACAATGTAAATGCTACATATTGTGAATCAGTTGGAAATACACCACCTTGAATGTGTAGCAACTTCTGAACTAAAAATCTAAAAACATCTAACTGGTAAAAGTAAAGAGGCGCACAACAAAATTAATAAAATAGATAAACATTTTTATTCACAAAGAACATTTAGAAAAAAAGTGGCTATAATTTTTCTCTCTTTCTCCCTTCTCCGTAATCCAGCTTGACTCTACTTCCTCCCTTCCCTCCCTCTTGTATATTGCTGTACATAGTTTCCCCACCTGATTCACTCGATTTCCAACCGATGTGAGGTCACCGTTACCCCCTCTGTATTGGCCTTTACTCAGTTTCAGCATATGCCATACCCACTGCCACCACCATCCAAAAGCTTATTCTACTGGTCGCACATACCACACACACTCTTACGTTTTACCTTGTCCAATTTTTTTTACCTGTTCTTATGATGTCAGGATTACATTGTACAGGTTCATCGGTAATGGGGGCAAAGAGTTTAGTAACAGTTCACCTGGGATCCTGTCGAGCTCTCCTGGGTTGACTTCCCAGTTGGGACCCGATCCCGTCGCCATTTGTTGGCTGAGAGTCACCTGACTTCTCTCGGCTAATGAATGGCACACTGCTCATGAAAATTCGCAGAGATTTGACTATTTTTCCAGATAGGCTAGTGACGCCGCCAGTGACGCTGCCAGGCGTGGAGTTACGCCTCCGGAAGCAAAGGGGATAAACTCCGTATGTGCATAGCTTAACACTGAAACTTTGCAGATACAGACTCCAGGCACTATGACCACTTCAAAACACTTGATAGGCCGTTGAGCTTCGAGTAACCCTTTAAGTAATGTCTTCTAAGAAGGATCACATATCTGCAAAGAACACATACAATTCTAACATCTGAAACCACGCGCTGAGTGCATTTTTTAGATGCCTGTCACTTTCACAACACCAGGATTTGAGCACGTGAACTTACTCTTAGCTATTTGCTAACACATGATATATTTACACAAATATATACGCAACACAAAATAATACATACAATGGATATGACACATACAAGATTTTGTTTTATAAAATAATAATAATAAAAAAAAAGAGTTTTCCTGTAGTAGAGTGCAGTCTATCTTCAGAGTAAATTACAATGTTACTATTTGATTAATACATTTTCCTAAAGCAAAATTAACAGTTTAACCAGCTGGCTCATGGTATAGGCAATGACAAAATTAAGAATCCTTTTAAATACAAGAAAAAGAAATGGTACAAAGTCCATGGATGATTTAGTTGAATAGCAGATAAACGTTGTTAAACTGAAGAATATTTGTCTGATACTTGCTGCCATGGATACCAGAACATCTTATATACTGCACATACACAACCAGATTAACAAAATCCACCCCCGCGTCTCTTCTGTACTGACCCTCACCTTGCATATCGGCCCCAGTCAGATCAGTGACATCACTCTTGGGAGAACAGTTATCTCCCAACATTCTAATCGGAGATTCTATTCAAGTACTGGTGAATGCATCATATAACCCATCGATGGATGGCAATCTTCATCACAGCAAAGGGCTAATTCACAATGGGGGGTTTATTACAAACATACAAAAAATGTCAGATACTAGAATATGGTAAAATGTGTAGAATAAAAAAAAAATGCAAGCAGAGAGGGAAAAGCCACCCATTTTAAATAACTGAGGAGGGATTAAAGTTTAGGAAAGGCACAGCAGCCACATGAAGATACATTTATCACTTAACATCAAATTAAAGTCACAACAGGAACAATCTGAAAATGGAAGTTATTTCACATAGAGATTATATATATATATACACACACACACATAAACAATATACCTAATATATTTATAACCTACTCATCAATTTTATATTTTTTTAATATTATAGAAAATATATCAAAACCATAAAATTGATTAGTAGGTTATAAATATATTAATTGGGTATATCCTAGTATTCATTATTTCAAAGCCTGATGATGATGATAGGGTGCAAAATTACTTAATATATCATTTAAAAAAATAAAG